GATGATGTGGTTAAACTTAGTACCATATTAAGATTGCAGCAAATTCAAATGATATTAGGATCCAAACATTTGTAACATTATAATTTTCAAGCTTTTATTTTGTTTTCATATGAACAACATCCTAATTATATAAACAACATCCTAGTAAAATGCGAAAGTATTAGAAGAAAGAAATCATAAAAAAACATAAAGTAATATATAAAAGATTGAATACAATTGTTATCTTCACGGTAATTCTGAAGGCGGTTGAATAGAAAAAAAAATTCGCGTGTTTTATGAGGAATAAATTTTTTTTTCAGTTGATATTTAAATAAAGCGGTAATGGCAGTTGTAATGTTTTGATGAAGTAACAATTTAAAATAAACCTAGTTATGGTAATAGAAATTAAGAGATAGCTAGTAACAGTTTAAAATGAATCTAATTTTAGGAAAATATGTTAAAAATTAAGTTAATATCAAAATAAATCTATCTACACCTAAATGAACCTTTCAAATAAGTTTTTATAATAAAAATAAAACATTAAAAAACTGCACAATGGGTTTATTAACATGTTTATTTATAATCTAAGTTGCTTATTCAATGATTCGTTTCCCTTCTTTACTTGTTTCGCTCATTTATTTACCATGTTATTCCATCATTCATTCCCTTATTTTGATAAACTGAATAAAAAACGGACGGTCATCACGGGAAAAAAATAATACATGAAAAATACTGAAGAATTCAATGGAATTTTTTGGTGAACATATGATAATTTATTACATATGTAACAAAATACAGTGGCAATAAAACTTATCCGGTAAAAGATCAAGACAAAAAAAAGTATAAAAAATTATCCTCATGACGAATTCTGCTTGGAGATTTACGCAAAAAAGATTCAAATTTGAATCACCGTTGAAAAAAAAATGATGATTAAAAAATATTGAAAAAAAGTAAAGGTAATGATATAACTAAAAATACGCACTTTTAAAATTAAAAGCAATAAATCTGAATAATTACCTCACGTAAAACAAAGCAATTGAATAAGTATACTGAAAATTCTGAAATAGTATGGAAATTCTGGTACCATATAGGATTTCCCTTTCTCAGATTTAAATATGCTTATAAGCTATAAGAGAAACTACTTTTTCATTCAAATAAATTTAATATTATAACTGCAACTCTATAGATGCACAAATTATTTAATTTGATTAATTATATATTCTTTATTCCACTTTTGTTTATTCACGTTTAACGATTAAGATGGGGTTCCTGAAAATCTCACCGAATCTTAATGAGTGTCACCAAACTAAATACGCAATACAAAGCTAATTTAGTAACAGCAAACAAACGAATTCCGACCATCTTACGTTTCAAAAGTGATAAAACAAAAAGAGTGTAAATGAAATCAGAGTAACGAAACTGAATGAATTTCTCCTCATGTAGCAGCCATGTTTATGGTTTTATTATTGTTTTGAAAGTCACTCGTGTGTCAAAACACTTTCGCCAATCTTACAAATACAAAAACAATATATAATTTCTTTGGGAAAGAAAAACAATACAGCCTATATTTTATAAACACCGACTTTGTGGGTGTCGTTGGGGTCGGTAGGTATATGTCCCCTTCAAAAATTAGAAATCTATTAATGTCCTCTTTACTTGTAACAAATAAAAAAAAAATTCAAAAATTGTCATAGATTTAAATTCATCTAAGTTAAATGGAAGAAATTAATAAAAATAATTATACTTTTTTTAACATAAGAATTTTTTTTCTTCTGAGTGAAATTTGGTGAACTATTGTGACCGTGTATCTTAATTTCACCCCCTTAAAAATTGGGCACCTGCAAAGACCATGACTGACTCTATTAGGCTTAAAGGTATCTAAATCTCTCGATTTTGTTTTTTTGTCCCGGGAACCCCACATCAGTGTTTCTTTCCAAAATTGTAGTTTAGATCATATGCAATGTTTACAAATTTTTTAAGTATCGTAATAGTAGTGTTATCTATAATGTAAATTGCTGAAATAATGATAGATTATTTCATTTGCAATAAATTTTGGAAAACAATAAAAAATCTATAAAACATTAACTGGAAACTCGAGCAAATGATAAGTACCTAACGGAGGATTACGACTTATTATTTTTTTGAAAGTTATTTAAATGCTACTATTGAATGTTACTATTGAATGTTTAAATGTTGAATATACGATTCTTATGTATAATTATGGATTATTGCCATTTAGAAAAACAAAAATTTTCAGAACATATACATTTATTTCTAAATACATATTTTCTCTTTTTCTTTCTTTTTTGTTATTAGTTTTTTCAACACAGAACAATTAGATTTACATTTTTCACTGTAAGATATCAACCCTTTAGTAGGATCAAATCTTTAGGGGCTAAGTTTTTATTATTATTATAATTGTAACAACACACATATTCATATGTAGCCTTGTTTGCTTGTTGTAAATATGGCTTAGAATACAAATTTGGCCCATAACGAAAAATTTTCTATAGAAATGTATCTAAAGTTCTAATGTATGTTCTTATTAAAGTATTATTATTTCAAAGCAGTGGCACCCTCTATTGAGCTAAAGCTTGAATAATAACTAAGCTCTTTATCATATTTGTAATAACGTTTCAAAAAAGTATAAAATCTTTGACGCAGGGCAAATATAAATCAGCAATTGAAATTTTTATTTTTTTAAAAAAAGATTATTACTACTATTTAGTTTATATATTTCTTATTGTGAGTTAGTAACAAAATGCGATTCTAACATGCTATCTAAAAAATCTGCTATGCAATAAGTTAGTAGAAAAACATTTTAAAAAATACGAATGATTGGAAATAAAAAAAATGAAAAGTATTGTTCAATTTATTCATCTGAATAACAGCTGTGTCAAAAATTTAAGATCGTGAGAGTTCGGTGCTAATAAGTTTAAACTCTCATTTTGTTAATATTAAATGTTTGATGCTGACATCTAGCGGCAAACTTATTATCTAGATAATACCCACACTATCTCTAACATAATATATATTTTTCAAAATCCTCTTAAAGTGCTTTTTTTCTGCATTATGACCAAAAAGTCTACAATTTCTCACTAATAATATAGCTTTTTTATTATTGGTATTAAGTGAGACTATTTTTAACCGCAGGATCTAAAATTAAAACANTCTCAATTTTTTTTTGTCCCGGGAAACCCACATCAGCGTTTCTTTCCGAAATTATAGTTTTAGATCATATGCAATGTTTAAAAATTTCTTAAGTATCGTAATAGTGTTTCATACAAAGTAAATTGCTGAAATAATGGTAGATTATTTCATTTGCAATAAATTTTAAAAAGCAATAAAAAATCGATAAAGCATAAACTGGAAACTCGAGCAAATAATAAGTGCCTAACGGAAGATTACGACTTATTATTTTTTTAAAAGTTATTTAAATGCTACTTTTGAATGTTACTATGGAATGTTTAAATGTTGAATAGACGATTCCTATGTATAATAATGGGATATTGCCATTTAGAAAAACAAAAATTTTCAGAACATATACATTTATTTCTAAATACTATATATTTTCTCTTTTTCTTTCTTTTTTGTTATTAGTTTTTTCAACACAGAACAATTAGATTTACATTTTTTCACTGTAAGATATCAACCCATCAGTAGGATTAAATCTTTAGGAGCTAAGTTTTTATTATTATAATTGTATCAACACACATATACATAATGTAGCCTTGTTGCAAATATGGCTTAGGCCCATAACGAAAAATTTTCTAGAGAAATGTTTTGTTAAAGTATTATTATTTGAAAGCAGTGGCACCCTCTATTGAGCTAGAGCTTAAATAATAACTAAGCTCTTTATCATATTTGTAATAACGTTTTGAAAAAGCACAAAATCTTTGACGCAGGTCAAATATAAATCAGCAATTGAAATTTTTATTTTTTTAAAAAAAGATTATTGCTACTATTTAGTTTTTATATATCTTATTGTGAGTTATTAACAAAATGTGATTCTAACATGCTATCTGAAAAATCTGCTAAGCAGTAAGTTAGTAGAAAAACTTTTTAAAAATACGAATGATTGAAAAAACAAAGAAATAAAAAGTATTGTTCTATTTATTCATCTGAATAACAGCTATGTCAGAAATTTAAGAACATGAGAGTTCCGTGCTAATAAGTTTAATAAGCTCATTTTGTTAATATAAAATGCTTGATGCTGACATCTACCGGCAAACTTATCACCTAGATAATACCCACACTATCTCTAACATTAAAATATTTTTCTAAGTCCTCTTAAAGTGCTTTTTTTCTGCATTATGACTCAGAAATTTATAATTTCTCCCTAATAATATAGCTTTTTTATAGTTGGTATTAAGTGAGACTATTTTTAGCCGTAGGATCTAAAATTAAAACAGATTTTCCAAATACATCATAAATAGTAAAATAACTTTTTTATTAAAACCAAAATATCAAAAATCTTACTCTATCAATATAACTTTTCTGATAACGCTACAAATTGTAAATTATTTTAAAATAGAAGTGACCACAACAAACAATTTTTCTTTTCAAAATCATTGCGATTTTACTAACTATATTGAGTTACTGATTCTAACTTCATTGATTACTAACTTATTAATTATAAAACCGTGACAAACGTTTGCTTTTTTTTAAATCCATCTATAATTATATTAATTGACAAAAGTGAAAATTGATATTCTTTACTTACTTTTATAAATAATCATATTAGTTTACGTTATTGACATTATGGATATTCTCATACATTTTATTCTTTATAAAACTCGAAATCATTGAAACATTTTAAAAAAAGTTTAAAATTTTTTATTATATCAATTTTTTGTTAAATTTAGACTGTTTTTTGATCGTTCTTAAACCTTCTTTTTAAAAGATAGAAATGCAGATAACAATAACTGATGATTGAATGAATTAAATTTTTTAAATATTACATTCGTTTTCCTTTGTCACTTATTCACATAGAAAATAACAGTTTTTGTTTCCTTTGATAGATACTAAAAGTTGTAAAGATTGTCCTGTAATACTTCAAGAATTAGAAAGAATAGATGATGACGCTTCCAATTTTGGTGTTGCATTTGTTAAAAACTCAGAAAAATCAACTGCAAAGAAATATAATGTTACATCATTCCCAGCTCTGGTGTACTTTCGAAATCAGAACCCTGCGATATTTGAAGGTAAAGTATTTATATTTTTATCATTTAGTTATTAATTTTATTTACTTGTTTAAAATATTAAAAACACTTACTCATTTTATAATTAATTTTACTGATTATTGTTAAACTAATAATGTGGCCCTAGCTAGATCTCGGGGAGTTTAAAATGAGGAAAAGCTTAGTGCCAAATATTTTATTAATGTACATATAGCACACGGACAAACAAACATAAATTTAATTAATTAAGAAAAGGAGAAATAAGTGTAAGGTCCATTCGGTTCGAAGTCTGAGCATCCACTGCCTTGTATATGGTGGTGCTGTTGTAGCTTAGCGATGTGGTTGCTAGAATAATTTTAAAAATATTCGATTCACCTAAATAAATGAATTAAATATTTTTGTTTTTATTTCATGCAATGAATAGTAAATAGTAATGAATAGTAAATATTATTATGAACTCTTATGAATAGTAAAATTATTATTTAAATTTAAAAAATACATCTTTATTCTATTTATTTTTAAATTATATAAGATATTAAGCTCCCTATTTAAATGATTAAAAATGCATTAAAAATAATTATTTTGAAAGAAATAAAAACAATTATCTAAAAATTAAAAATTTAACGAAAATATATTTACTTTTCTATTGTTGAAAAATATTACTTTTATATTAAGCGAAATATAAATTTAAGAAAAAAATTTTTTTTTTATTAATTAAAATAATTATTTAATTTATACTTAAATTTATAAAATCGAATCTTTAGTTATAACATTGTTTTTAAAGTTATTTTTAAAATAACATTAAATATTTCATAATTAGTTTATTTATTTATACAATTTAAGAATAAATTTGAAATATTTTAATATTACTTTGTTTCATTAATTTCAAGTTTTTAAAAATTTTTTCCTAATTGCTCATTAAATTAATTTTTAAAAACTCCTGTGTACTACTTTTGAATTAGTTATTGTCTAAAAATATTTTAAAGAGCAGACAAACATTTGTTTAATTAATGTACCAAATCTTTTACAAATTGTTGATAAAAAAATTACATGTTTATTCTTTTTAAATGATCAATGATGAATAAGAAATTTTTAGTTATTCTTTAATTTTTATTTCGACTCTTATTTTAAAGATTAAAAATTGTCTACGTTTTTATTCATTTATTTATTTATTTTTAATTTAATTTTTTTGAGAATGTTTTGCAAATTTATTAAATCAATATGTTTCGTAATTTAAAATCAATTTATAACTATACTTTGCACTATTTTTCAGATTACCCTATCGAGGACCTACTAACTAGTTCATATTTTTAAGGAGCCTAATAAAGATTAACTAAATGTTCTCAGAATTTAAATGTATGCGTAAAATGTTAAAATTATATTTGAGTTTTTAATGTTAATTTCAAAAATCGTAATTTTGTTAAATTTGTAACTACTTAATCTAATAGTACTATTCACTTAACGATTTGGAAATATCATTTGCTTCAAAATATTGGTTATAAGAGTCGACAAGTTTCAAGTGCTCAAAAATCGGCGCCTATTCTCAAGACTCACCAGATGTGAATGAGGGTACAAAAGTAATTTGTAATAGAAAACGTTAAGTTTTCAACGAAAATTGGAAAAAAATAAGGAGAAAAACAAAGCTAGAAAAAAACCGTGTTGGCTGAGAGTGAAATGAAACAAAACTAGGAAAACCGCAGTAACTGAGAGAGGCAAAATATGAATTTCTTTGTGCAGCTACAGCACGTGGAAATGCATTTTGCCCTGATTTGCTTCAGTCGACTTTTTTTTACCATCTTTAATTTCTTGAAGCTAATGAAATTTTTAAATCATCAAGTATTTTTTTCAGCTTCAGTTTCTTTGGATTATTCATTTAATATTAACAATAGTCGAAAAAAGAAATGGTTTGTATTTGTTTTATAGGTGATCTGAAAGATGAAGAAAGAGTTCTGGCTTGGTTGACAGATTTAGATTCTATGGAATTACCTGACAGAATAGAAGAAGTCAATGCAAAAATATTAGAAAATCTAATCGAAGACACGGATTTTCTTGCTGTTTTACTGTGTAAGATATTTTGAATATGTCATGTATATTATTGCATTGAATATTGCATGCATCTATCTACAGTGATTGTGAAACAAAATGGAATTTAAGTTACCGCAAATGATATAACAGATATGTAGTACAATGAAAAAAAAAANAAAAAAAAAAAAAAAAAAAAAAAAAAAAAAAAAAAAAAAAAAAAAAAAAAACGGACAGCTTTGAATAATTGATCGGATCTTCATCTTTTAGGATTCAATCTTAATAGTTGGAGGAGGTGACCTTAAATATGCTAATACATTAGTACAGAGAATATTTTAAAATTATAAGATCAGCCACAAAAATGTACTTTCTCGGAATAAACATAACTTTTTTTTTCTCGCTGAATTCGGATTTCTTCCCCCCCCCCGGAAAAAAATTATCTATATATACATAGAGAGTAGCCACAATCTTGGAAATATGGTCCCAATAGTTAGGTCAAAAGACCAGTCTAAAGTTTGGAACCCTTAATGCCGACCGAAGAGATAAATAAACCATTATTTAGGCCGATTTAAATTAGAAGCATCGATACGATTTTAATGCACTAAATTCTACCTTCAAAGTGTTTAGACTGAGCGCAAATTCAACAAATTTAGATAAAACTTTTTTTTCAAATATAAATTCTCGATATCTAATATCTTTATAATTTTACTACATTCTCGACAAATAATATGAACTTGATATTCAGGATGGTGATTAGTAAAGTTTTGTATTTTTAATTATTGCTTGCTAAACTTTCTATAAAAAATTTTAATCTTACCCTTTTTCATTGATTAATTAGTATAATTATTCTGACTTTTAAAAACATTTACATTCATTCATTTTATTTATCGTATTTAAATGAAAAAAAAGTTAATAAGTTCAAAAAAAATTGAAATTCAGAAATTATTTATGTCTTTGCATAGTGTGTGAAACAACAGCCAAAATATCGATTTTTTTAAAGAAATTCGTGATATACAATTCGAAAATTACGTAATTATATCAATATTTATGTAATTTTTGTAGATAAAGAAGATGATGAAGTTTCCGAAAAAGTATTGGAGAAACTTGAAAATGTGGACGGACTTGCTGATGCCAAAAATATTGGTATGGTCAAAATTGCGGATGATAGCTTGGCCATTGAATATGGACTGGAACATTTACCTTCCTTGATTTACTATAGAAAACAAATTCCTCTGCTATATGATGGTAAAGAAGTTGTTATCAGTAATAAACTTTGTTATCAGTAATAATAAAGCAAAGAAAAATTCGAATTCGTAATTCAAATTTGAAAAGAAATATTGTATGCAAATTTGAAAAAATAAAAAATATTGCTTTTTAAACTAAGACTACAAAAGTAGTTAAGAAAATATTTAGAAATAATTAAAATTATATTTACAATTATATTACAATTAAAATTATGATTTCATTAAATTATTGTGAAAGTTATGCTTGAAAATTTAAATATTGATTTCCGATAAGTTTTAATTACAGTTGTTTTAATTCATGTTTCAAATTTTTATTTTGGCATAGCTCAGGAATATATTTGAGGTTCCTATTTAATGATTAGATTCGCAAATAGTTTTTTATATTTAATTTGATGCCTATTTAAAATATCAAAGGTCTTAGAGAGAAGAATTTAAGATTATATCGATCCTAAAATTTTAAAACATAACTACTGTTATCAATTTACTATTATTTTAATTTAACAAAATTCTCTTTAAATCTTATTAAAAATATGAAATCTACATTGAACAAATTTCATGAAATCTTCAAATATAACAATAAATTATTAATTTTCTAATCAATTATAACAAATTTAATATTTAACTGCAACAACAAATTTAATAAACTGTTACTACTTTTTTTTAAACATTATGAATTAGTGACTTTTTTTCCCTATATTCTTTACATTATCACTTAATAACATTGTATACAGACTAAAATTTTCGCGTAACTATATTCGATCATATAATACATATTGCACATGCATATCATATATATATATATATGTATGTATGTATTATAAACCAAACGATCTTTTTGTTTAAAAAAAGAAAAAAAAACATATCAATGTTTAAGAAAAAGTACAATGATGGATGAAAGAATGAAGCGAATAGGGGACCGTGACCTCTCAGTACACTGAATTTTTTGAACTGAAACATTTTCTCAGGGTTTTTTGTAGAAAGCTACAAAAACATCAAATTCATAATTTTTCAAATAAATTAATGCAACTCGTTATGTTATTTCATAACATGTGAATACAAAGATGGCCAAAATCAACTCATTTTCCCATGCATAAAATTTTAAGTAACTCTCTTTTACATAGACTTTCAATTTACAATGCCAATTTTGCGCAGAATTAATTGCTTTCAGAACAAAACAACCCAACAAAATAGCGATGGAGGATTGTAACAATCCTTTTTTTTCATTAATGGAACTAAATGGTTTAAAAGAATGCTTCCTTTCCAGGTCCAACCTTGTTTAATATGAAAAAGATTGAATTTCAAATAATAAATTAATGACCCGATTTTACGTATCAAGTACAAGTTGGACAGATTTCACTTTCGTTCAAGGAAATTATTTAATTCGCGGGAGTGGCAACACGGAATCTACCAATGATAAAGCAACGTGGGTAGAATTTCAATGGAATTCGTGCCCTCTTCAACCCATCTGAAAATTGGAAACGTGCATTGCTTCTTTTTTTCTTCCTAGAGCCGGCAGANATATATATTAGAAAAATATATCATAAATATATGTTTTCATATGTTTCAAATAATGTTATCATAAGTATGCTTATTATACATTTAAGAAGAAATTATTAAGAAGAAACATATTTTTAAAAATTTACATTAGTTAAGGCTATTTTATATTTATCTCGTAAGTTAGAAAAGATTATCGCTCAAATTTTGTGTATCGTAAAATATTTTGCAATAACCACGCATTTTTCCAGAGTTTACTGAAAAATACCCATCTAGACAAAAAACTATTTCACAATCACTTCGGATTTTCGCAGAATTAGATAAAAAATAAATATAAAAAAAAACTCTGCTGAACAAATTCTGTAATTTACAGTTAATTCGTTTTTAAGCAGGTTTTGACAAACAAATACTATTTTCCGTATTTAACTAATATTTTAGATTTCTAATTTCGAGTATCACATACATTTATTTTTAATTTCATTGGAAACTCTTTAGCATGGTGGATAAAATAAAAATCATAAGAGTATAATTACCACGGAAAAAATAAATTTCTTGCTGTGCAAAGACTACCGAATCCTCATGTCTCACAATCTGAACGGTAAACATTTAGTTCCAAATTTAATTTAAACTCACAAGTTCTGTAATTTTTCGTAGGTGACCTGATGAATGAAGAACAAGTGCTGAATTATTTATTTGAATTTCAAGATCTGGGTGAAGAGAATGAAGCTATTGAAGATGTGTCAGCGAATGGTTTACTTACATTAATTGAAGAATCTCCCTACCTTGCTGTCTTATTTTGTAAGTGCCATAAAATCCATTATTTACTATTTTGTAAATGCCTTAAAATCCACTATGTGCTATTTTGAAAATGCCTTAAAATCCATTATCTACGATTTTGTAAGTGCCTTAAAATCCGTTATCTACAATTTTGTAAGTGCCTTAAAATCCCCTATGTGCTATTTTGAAAATGCCTTGAAGTCCATTATCTACGATTTTGTAATTGTCTTAAAATCCATTATCTACGATTTTGTAAGTGCCTTAAAATCCACTATGTGCTATTTTGAAAATGCCTTAAAATCCATTATCTACAATTTTGTAAGTGCCTTAAAATCCACTACATGCTATTTTGAAAATGCCTTAAAATCCATTATCTACGATATTCTAAGTGCCTTAAAGTTCATCATCTGTGACTTTGTAAGTGCCTTAAAATACACTACATGCTATTTTGAAAATGCCTTAAAATCCATTATCTACGATATTCTAAGTGCCTTAAAGTTCATCATCTGTGACTTTGTAAGTGTTTTAAAATACATGATAACAATGATTACAATTTCTGTTTCTTATAGATGACATCGAAAATCGTCGTTCTCAGCGTATCTTAGAAGAATTGGAAAATATTGATGATGATTGCGAACGCCATGGCGTCTCATTTGTCAAAATCGATGATGACAAAGTGGCAGCCGAATTTGGCATCGAGACTTTACCAGCTTTGGTATATTTTGAAAACAAAATGCCTAATTTTTATCAAGGTATTTATTTGATTATTTGATAATTTAGATTCAATGTATTAAGCTGAATTTGTCAGGATGATAATGTAAACTCATATGCATGTTTTGATTTAAGGGGATCTCACAAAAGAGGAAGTTGTATTGGATTGGCTTGTCAAACAGACAAGTTCTGATGAAATTGAAGATGTCACTGATAAAGTTCTGACTCAGATGATAAAGAAAACTCATGAATTAGTAGTATTTTTTTGTAAGTGTTTTCCTATTTCCTGAGCTTAAGAATTTCTTTACTGTTTGCTAGATTTAAAGCATTTCTCATGGATGAAATATTGTGCTATATCAACACGCTAGAACGCTTTTCCTTTCAGTCTGTTTTTTTGTCTACTAGCAACTACCAAAGTGAGTGATATTTCAAACTGGGTACGCCATAATGTCCGTAACAACTCTTTTAACTTCACAAAGTTGGAGACATTTTGGAAACAGAATATAAAAGCATTTGTTAGCCAATCTATTAGCAACTACCTAATTGAGTTATTTTTCAAAATGTATGAACAATAATGTTCGTATAAACTGTCTTAACTTTACAACGTTTTAGAAACTTTGCAAATTGAATCTATAAGTATCTGTTAGTCATTATACTAGCAACTAGCTAAGGGAGTAATATTTCAAACAGGGAGCCCAATAATGTCCGTAACATCTGTCTTAACGTTACAACGCCTTAGAAAATTTGGAAATCAAGTATAAAAGCATCTATTAGTCAATCTATCAGCAACTAGTTAAGTGAGTAATATTTCACACGGGACAGCCAATAACGTCCATGACAACTCTTTTAACTTTACAACGCTAAAGAAATTTTGAAAATCGAATTGTAAATGTATCTTGTGACAACTAGGTTTGCTTTCCTTTCTTTCTTTTTTGCTTCTTAAAATAGTTTTGTCTGGTCACAATATTTAAAGTTCAATGTTAAGCCTTTTTTGAGAAATAATGTCCGAAATGTAGCAATTCCTTGTAAATAGAAAGGAAGTAAACAACTAAGTTCTGGAGCATGCTCTATGTTCCATTCCTTTTTCGATTTAGAAATACTAGTTCCACAATTTTTTGAAGGGTGGCGGTTTAAGCAGTCTCATCTTATGGTTCATATCCACCATATTACACTTAGACAAGAGTCATTCGAAAATTTAGAGGGTTGGTAAACAACTTAAGTAGGCTTTCTGTATATGGAATGATGACTTGCTCTGCATTTATATTGTAGAATGATTGAACAATAAAGTGAAAAACTTATATGAATACGCGAAGCGTTTCTAGACTCTGTGCATCAATTATCGCGAGCTCGAAAAGTGTATAAAGACTTGCATAGTGAAAAAGCAGTTAATTTGTAGGGTTGGACTGGAATGAATATGCTTCCTGATAAGTGCGCCTTAAGCTAAACGCATTTAGGAAAAATAATTAGTTTAGGATTAATTTAATCCTTTTTTACTGATATTCATCAAAAAAGTGAATGGGAAGAATTTGGAAAAGTTTTCGTTTTTAATTTTCATAAATTTTTCAATTATATTAATTTATGACCTATGATGTGTGCACAGTGTTTTGATTTTATTTTTTAGAAGGATTCTGAATATGTATACTTATAGGGAAGGTCATTTAGATTGTAAATCTCTTATGGACTATGAAAAAAAGGAAACATAATTATCTAAATATATTTATTTCCAAAGATACGACAACATATCAGCTACTTTTCAACATACGAACCATCGGAAATGCAACATTTGTTATATCGTTGGCAAAGTTTTTGAAGTCCAGTATCACAGGAATCTGATGTCAGGAAATTGAGCAGCGTATCATAGCTGTTTGCATGTCTGTGAGAAAGTGATACTCAGAATGGAATTTTTTCAGTAGCTGGGAGAGAGATAGGAATTACAATGGGGATGTTCAAACACTTCCCAGTGAAACTTCTGCAAATTTTTTTTCCTTGTAAAATTTATCGTATTTGGACGATTGTTGTGGGGAGTGTTTGACTACTCACCATTCACTTTCGATCCATCTCCCAGTTACTTCCACCTGTTACTTCCCACTTGTTACCCAGTTACTTTCACTTGCATTTAAAGAAATTCCAGCCAGGACGTAATTTTCCCTCAGACGTGCAGGCAGCTGTGACACGCTGGCTAAGTTACTAGGCAGCAGACAGCTGTGATATTAAACAACAAAAACTTTTCCCGATTGCGAGTGTTACGAGTCCTTTCATCGGGAAGTAGCTGAAATATTACAGTATCTTTTGCAATGAACCAATTCAGGTAATTGTGTTTTGTTTCTTTTTATGCCCCTCTGGAAACAGGCTCACTGGATAACCCTTTTATTAAGGGAGGTCATTGCAAAACACCCAGCATATTCTCGTTGTTACTATAATTAATCGTAAAGTAAAACATTACACTAAATACGTTGCTTACGCCTCTTTCAGGGTCGGGATAGCCTGGTCGGTATGGCGCTGGGCTCATGTCCGAGATTTCGTGGGTTCGAACCCTGCCGGCCGAAGACTCCCCGTGTAGTAAAGTGACTGATACACGTTAAATCTGTCGAGTCACAAAAGTCTTCCATGTTCCCATAACAAATCAAAACCTCTGGGGGTACTGGATTGGAGATCAATCGTTCTCTAATTCAGGTCAAAATTACGATCTGTGGATGAATGAACGGATGTATGAATGGGTCCGCCCTAAAAACGGGTGCGACGTATGGGTATGGTGGTATGGTAGAAGTCGAATTCTTGGCCATAGATGGCGCCACTGGAAAACAGGAACAATCACACCCCCTCTGCCTAAACAGGCATACGTCAACAACAACAACACGCCTCTTTCGCCACATATTTTTTTTTAATATGTCGTACATGAAAACTGTATCTGTCTCCACTATTTGTTTTAATTTCTTTTTACGTAGCTTTGTATTCGTGCTGTCAACTAACTTCTTTCTCTTCTTTTTTTTTATCTTATTGAAAAAATTTTTGATTGTCTTTATTTTTTCTGAAAATTATAATTTATGACAAATCGCACAGTGTTTTCTTTTAAATATATGTCAGGTTTATAAAATGTAAACATTTTAAAAACTCTTGTGTCATACTATAGAAAATACGGTTTTATGCAGAATAGAAAAGCAATTAAATTAATCGGTCTATACGTGCCTGAGAAACATTGGTATAATTGTCAAAAGTTATAATAAATTTACGACTGCACCCTGTTTGATCTTAAGTTTTTGCAGAATATTTGAATTTTAGATCGAAGCTTGAATCATAGATTTAAGAGATTTAATTTATTCATAAAAAATTACAGACCAGTGTCCTTACCTTCTTTAAGCTCATTGAAGTTATTTTAAAGTTAAATTTTTAAAATTAGTTTGCATATTTTTTAAATGAATTGACTTTAATGTCTTTTTAGATGACAATGATGACGAAGAAAGTTTGCATATAATGGAAAAATTGGAAGGAATTAATGATAACGAAGCAGATCTCGTGGTTCCCTTCGTTAAGATTGATGATAAGGAATTGGCAGAAGCCTATGGAATAACTGATTTACCAAGTCTTGTGTTCTTCGAAAATCAAGTCCCAAATTACTATACAGGCATGTTCATTTTTCATTTTATTTTTACGTATTGAAGTTTCAAATTTAAATAATGCCTGAAGTGTTTAGTAGCAGTAAAATGTTTAGATTATAAAAATACGAATTTCAATTAATTTTAGCGTTACAGTCAATAATATGATACTACGTAACTTTTACGAAACGAAATGTTTGGTACCCAGTTTTCAAAGGATTAGAAATATTATTTTAACACATTTTACCAAAATGTATTCTATTTTTATAAAGTTAGAACAACTATGGTATAAATTGGTTTAAGTGAATAAACATAAATTTCTAAACTGCTCTAATGATTTTGCTCAAACTGCTCTAATGATCATTCATAATTATACTCTAATGATCATTCAAACTGCTCTAATGATCACAATTCATAAACTGTTGTAATGATTTTGCTTAAAATTTGTATTTTGCCTGTAAAATTATATTCTTTAAAATGATGCAAAAAATTGTGTTCCTCACAATGCAAAATTTTTTTGACCATTAATAAGTAAAATAATAAAAAATTTTAAAAAAAAATAAAGTTTTTTTTGCACGGACTTACTTTTGAATAAACGAACTTTACAATCGTGTGAAAACGTTTTTTTGAATAAACGAACTTTACAATCGTGTGAAAAAGTTTTTTAATTCGGTTAAAATAATCTCGAGATTTAGCAAAATACGCAAAAAGTAAAATTAACATTTAGGGGTCCAAATTTTAGACTGCTCTTTTGATCTAACTATTGCGGCTATATTTCCCAGATTGAGACCTACATTTTCGGGGTCAGAAATCCAAATCCATTGATAAAGAAAAGCATGTTTATTCAGAGAAAGTACGTTTTTGTTGTCAATTTCGCAAGTTAAAATATCGTCTGCACTTATTAATTAGCATAATTGAAGTCACCCCTTCGAGCCATTAAGATTGAGTCTTAGAATGCTAAGATCCGATTATTAGATTTAAAGTTATTCAGGGTGGGTTGTTTTGCACACTGTATATTTTTCTGCACATATATTTAACTTTCTATCACCTTCAGTGAAAAAATTAGGTATGATAATTATAGCTTTCTATACACTGCTTATTATCTATCAGTAATTGCTATATTTCATAAATTATTCAATTTTATGAACATCATTAACATTAGTCTTTATTTTTTGTACATTCTTAAATATTAGTTTTCATTATAATAAATTTTTTTCTTACATTTTCACATATTAACGTTGTCCAAGATCAATAATAATACTCTTTAGTATACTTTATTATTATTATTATTAATAATTATTATTACTAATTATTATTATTATTATTAATTATTATTATTATTATTAATTAATATTATTATTAATTATTATTATGATAAATTATTATGAGAAGGAATAATTACCATCCATGATTATTAACTCAAATATTTCCATACATTGTTCAGTTGCATGACCATTATTAATACTGATTCACACTAACAGGAAATTTAACCAATGAAGAGGCCGTGTTTGATTGGTTGAAAGAATTGCAGTCATCTGATGAGATTGAGATTGTGACGGATCAAGTTGTAGANTGAGTAGGGATAATTACCATCCATGATTATTAACTTAAATATTTCCATAGATTGTTCAGTTGCATAACCGTTATTAATACTGATTCACATTAACAGGAAATTTAACCAATGAAGAGGCCGTGTTTGATTGGTTGAAAGAATTGCAGTCATCTGATGAGATTGAGATTGTGACGGATCAAGTTGTAGAACTGATGATTGATAAATGTGAATACTTGGCTGTTATATTTTGTAAGTTCTCAGTGAGTACTTCATCTTTTTCTTATGACATTTCTATTTCCTTTAAAATGAAAAGTAACCAAAATCTCTTTAACTCATACCCATGCTGGAATTTTGGAATAACATCACTTAATATATATTATTTTAAGTCCTCGGTTCTAACTCAAACTCAGCTGAGGTCAAACATCTCTGTCCCACCTTTTCCACCACTTGGGAAGAACACAGACTCAATGACAGATTGTAGCACAGCACTATTTTGTCTCTTTCTACAATTCACCTTGAAAAACAATATCTGAGTCTCAAGCAATGCCAAGGCTCGAACATTTGCGAGTATAACGTTAATCTACTGTTAATTAACGTAAATTAATGTCAGTGGCCATATATTTTACGAGAAAAAATTTAAGGGCAGACCCGTATTTTTTTGAACATCTTAGCTTTACAGGCACAAATTTTTTATTACGGTCAGTGACTGGAATATTTTTTTCCTGTCACTAACCGTCATTTAGTTAGAAGATTTTTTGGAGTGAACCGCCTTTAAGTTTCATCTTCAAACTGAGTTGCCTTAACAATAGTTCAATTTTTTTTTAAGTGATCGCAAGAGCAAGCGGTCGTAATTTGAAAAAGAGTTTTCTTTTTCACTTTAATATTAATTTGCTAACTTTAAAATGTGTTGTTTCTTGACAACTTTTTTTAAGAAGGATTTACAAAGAATGTATGTTAAATAGGTGTCATATATGGAGCACCTCGTAAAAAGATTACATTCAAAACCAGATGCAATAATAAAAGCAATAATTTGCATTAGCTCACTAATATCCAGCTGAAATCTTAAGTAATACTAGTATTTAATATGCATAAGTCAACTAAGGAAGAGTTGCCTGGTTGAAAAAGTTTTATTTTATTCAAAATAAATCAAAATCCTGTAAAAGGTTAAAACGAAATGCGATATTTCAAAGTTTTTCAAATCTAAATTTAAAAATTCTATATTCTAATTTAAAATTAACAATCTAAATTTATATATGATGCAAAGAAACAAAATTTGTTGACAAATTTGAGAGCAATTTTCATAGAAACTAATTCACTAATTTGAGCAAGTTTAATTTCCTGCAGTTTATTTTTCTTTGGAAATATCAATACTTATTTTCATAAGATGACAATTTTTGTTCTTATTATGATTTAAATATTTTCTCATATAAATCCTTTTTTTGAAACTGATTTTTATTAATCTTTTATTAACATATACTATTGCATGACCTGTAAGATAGTAACTATTTCAAAACGCTTTATTTTAGTAAAAACATTAACGCAGCAGCCCGTTGTGGGCCAGGGGTCTGAAGGAGGTTAAAGTTCCACAGTTTCGAGACTAACAGCATGATTGTGATAATGTGGTCTGCACTGGGTACTGGCCGCCTTTACTTCCCAAACAAGCTGATACCTAGCGTTCTGAAGCTAGGTGGGCTACAAAACACCACTGGGGATCGAACCCCAGTTCTTCACAATAACAGTTTAGTACCTTACCCTCTGAGCCAACGTGGCTCGCTTTATTTAAGTGGTTGTAACAACAACTAAAAATGCAAAAATCCGTAACATTTTTGGATTATAAATGTCATTACTATTTTCATTTTCTGCTTGTCAGAAGCAAAATTTTATAACGAAATTTGAACCACTTTTTAATTAGCTTTAGATCTCTGTGCCGATTCGTTTTGAAAATGCTAAAAGCTAGATTTATCGACTACTTTCTGACTTTAGAAACTTACGATACAACCAACATTTATAAAAGGAAAAAAAAGTTTTATAAAAAATGCTTTCAAAAATAGAGGAAATACTAGTTTTATAGATACATAATTTTGAAAATATTAAATATATTTATATAAATAAATATATATATATTTAATATTACATATATTTTATTATATAATGAAAAATATGTAATTATAATACTTTTATAAATATAAAAAATAGAGGAAATAATTATATTATATTTAAAATGAAAAGCATGGAACACGTCACCTTACAGTTAAACTCTCANTGGAATCAATTGATGATGATGCTGATCACTGATTCGTTTTGAAAATGCTAAAAGCATGATTCATCGGCTTCTTTCTGACTTTAGAAACTTACAATACAACCAACATTTATAAAAGGAAAAAAAAGTTTTATGAAAAATGCTTTCAAAAATAGAGGAAATAGTTTCATAGATAGATAATTTTGAAAATATTAAATATATTTATATAAATAAATATATAGATATTTAATATTGTATATATTTTATTATATAATGAAACATATGCAATTATAATAATTTTATAAATATTAAAAATAGAGGAAATAATTTTATTATATTTAAAATGAAAAGCATGGAACCCGTCACCTTTGAGTTAAACTCTCATTAACATTTTAAACTCTCTCAGTTTTAAAAAATGACCCGTACTTCGCTTTTTTGTATTAGTCGTGACAAATGTGAAATTATTTGTCCAATCTTGAATTGTTGTTTTAAAATGGTTTTTATAGCTCAGTTTAATATTGTTTTGAGGTCTTTTTATTGCAAAGTTTAATGTTGCTAGGATACAATTATTATTATTTTTTGGAAAATACTTTCCAAATTTTTGGAACAATATTTTTTAATGTTCAATTATTAATACTTTTTTGGAAAAATAGTTTAGAAATTATTTGCAATAAATGTTGTTCTTTTTAGACGACGCTGATGATGCTTCTGCTAAAAAAGCCCTATCTGAATTGGAGCATATTGATGACGAGACGGACAAAGCAGGTATTCCCCTCATCAGAAGCCACAGTAAGCAAATACCTGATACATATGGAATCGAAACACCCTCTCTTGTATATTTCGAAAATGGAGTACCCAATATCTACCCAGGTTATATATTTTTATTTTAATCAGAGTAATTCAAAATAGAAAAATAGAAAAACGTTTAAATGACGTATTTTTTTCTGTTGTTTTAGGAGAGCTATCGAATGAGGAAGAAGTCTTGAAGTATCTTCTTGAACAGCAGAGCACTGATGAAATAGAGGATGTCACACCAAAAGTGCTTGAACAAATGATTACGAAAAACGAACATTTGGCTGTTCTTTTTTGTAAGTCACAAATCAATAAACTTAGAAGAATGTTTCAAAAGTTTAAAGTTGGCTCTTGATTCCCAATACGAATTAGTTAATTTTCTGTAAATTTAAAATACATTTCTTAATTCTTTATACTTAATAAAAAATGCTTTTCCGTTTTTTTTAAAATATGCCTTTGCTTATTGATTACCTTCTTAAAATTTTAATTTTTCTTTACAATTTGCTCATGTTTAAGTTTTATATTCACATCATTTGCTTATGTAATTATTGTATTTTTAAATAATTTTCCTTATTATCTGCTTATTCCCGATTATTGTATTTACATGTTTTTTTTATTATTTTCTATTTGTACTAGATTATTATTTCGCAATTTTCTTTTATTTTCTTTCTGCTTAATAAATATAACAGCAAGACGTTTTTCATAAATTTTGCACTTATGATTATTGTATTTACGTGTTTCATTTATTAATTTAATTATTTAATATTTTCTACAAGGAAGATAGGGTTTAGAGCTCCCAGATCATATATAATGTTATTTGGTAATTACTTACTTACTTATCCTCTACGTGCCTTGGGCACTTAAGGCCTCTAGCATATCCCTCTAACGCCTCCTGTCTTTAGCAATAAATCTTGCTTCCTCCCAATCAGATATTCTACATTCTTTTAATTCGCTCAAAAACATGCGCTGGATGGTAAGTCTGGATCTTCCTCTCGTTCTTTTACCATCAGGGGGCCATGTAAGCGCAACAGATGAAATTTTTTCATTGGGCATTCTAAGGATATGTCCGAGACAGCTCCATCTTCGTTTTTTAATTTCATCTTCGATTGTTTTTATTTTAACTTTCTTTAATAGATTTTGATTTGATACTTTGTAAGGCCAGAAAATTTTAAAAATAAATCTTAAACATTTGTTTTGAAAGATTTCTAATTTTTGTATTTCGATCTTAGTCTGTTTCCAGGTTTCTGCGCCATATAATAGTATTGCTCTAACAATAGCTTTGTAAACAACTATTTTTATTTGGTAATAAAGATCAAGTTAAAAATAGTATTTATACATGTTCCTTCCTTATTCTCTACTGTTCTTATTATTATATTAATACTTTTTTTACAATTATCGGATGATTTTTAATAGACAATTTTTAAATATTTCAGACGATAAGGAAGATCGAAAATCAAAAGAAGTTGTGAGAGAATTGGAAAATATCGAAACTGAGGGAGGTGAAGACGGAGATTTACCATTTGTTCGAATCGATAATGAACAGGTTGCAGCAGAATATGGTTTTGAATCTGATTTGCCTGTTTTACTATATTTCGAAAAGAGAATACCATCTGTTTATCACGGTAAATAATAATACACAAATTTAATTCAAATTATTTTTTTTTCATTTTTAGAAGTGTAATTAATAAAAGACGGATCAAAGATAGTATTTTTTATAATTTTCTTTTACGTAAAATAATCATTTTAAGAAATAATGAAGCTTGGAAAGTACTCAATTGAATAAAAATGATATTCCATTTACTTTTTACTTATTTTTAATTAATCTTTGCTTTCAGCTTGCAATGAATGACATGATCTTCATCAACAAATAATTTTATTTTATGTTTCAGGAGATCTGACCAATGAGCAGCAGGTGTGGAAGTGGCTTCATCTTCAGCTGACAACTGATGGTATTGAAGAAGTCACTGAAAAAATTCTCTTCAATTTAATAGCTCATAATCCATTCGTGGCTGTTTTATTTTGTAAGTAGTGATTCCGAAACGATATCTTTAATTCCTAATCCATCTTAGATTTTCTTATCACTCCAATTGGAGCAAAAATACACTTCTTTATGGTTTTGTTGGCCAATAAGGATTTGGTGTTTAATATGGTTTAAAAGTACGCATAAGTTTAAGTATAGTTCGGTGTCTTAGGACATATCTGATGTGGCAATGAGTAATTAAACAATGGTAATTAAGCAAGTGTAAATTTAAGCAACGGGTGAAAGTATTAACGAATTTTAAAATTTTGCTTACTGTGTAACTCAACCTATAAAGCATTAGCTTTTGAATTTAGAGACCAAGTTTTCTAATGGATAATTTTCTTCATTGCACTGGTACTCACTGACAACACTAACTCATAAAAAATAACCCTAAATTAGTAAGCGGAATATGAGTTTAGGGCTAGTCACAGATCCGCTTTTTGAGCTCCAATTCATTGAATGAATTATTTTCAACTGAATTAAACTTCATCCGGACTTCTGTTAAAATTACAGATCCGCCTTTTGAGCTTCAATTCGTTGAATGAATTATTTTCAACTAAATCAAACTTCATCCAGACTTCTGTAAAAATATATATATATCGGATCTATAAGCATAATATGATTCGTGTCCGTTCGTTTTGGTGTTTCAATGTGCAAGCTTTCTCCTTTATTTGTCCTGAATTACTATTTCGTATCTTGTTTTCTTATGTTTTCCAAAATCAAAAATAATCATTAACCTGTGTTAATAACAATGATTAATGTGGTTTACAGTAGAAATAAATTTGGCGTTTTAAAAAGTGTGTAAATCATCTTAATCAGTGTTGAAAGAACAATTCAAAAATTTTCATAATGTATTTCGCTGATTGATTGGAACCCAGAAAACTAAAACTGTTAAATCATTTTTCTTTCTGAAAATGATTTAATGTATTATGCTTTAATATATTAGAATTTAATATACTTGTCTGAAAGTTTATTATACTTAACTTAAATTTATTGGAGTTACATAAAAATAAGAGTTGAATAATCGAAATCTAAGCCTAATCTATCAAAATAATTCCATGTTTTTGACGAGTTGCTACCGGTAACAATTTTTGATTTCCATTGCATCACTAATTCACTTGAAGGTTTTTGCTCTTCAGTTTTTAAATGTATTAAATTTAGTTTCCTTCGTTAGTTTTAAATATTAACGTCCCTTCCTTAAGTATTTTTTAAAAACTTGTTTTCTTCGAATATAAAAATGAAATTCATTTTCATACCTTCTTTAGGATTAACCCACTGGCGGTTTAGAAAATGGGCAAAATTGGGAAATTTTTTTTCCCCAAGCCACTATTTCTCTATCTAATAACATGGAAAACCGGTTTTCGTTATGCAGAGAAAACTGCAGGTTAAATTACGAATTTTTACACGCAAAACGATCAATGAGTTAACGTACTAGAAATTGAAAACGTTTATTTTTATTACATACCATTAATATTTTTTGATTTTTTTTCAGATGATCATAAATCTAAAAAGAGTGCGAAAGTATTGAAAGAGCTGGAATCAATTGATGATGATGCTGATCAGTATAATATTCTTGTAGTGAAAAATGACAATTTGCAAGCTGCACAAAAATATGGCATTAAAAAGTTACCTGCTTTGTTATTTTTTAAAGAAGGTAGCCCGATTGTGTACGAAGGTATGTCATTCCATCTTTTATCCTCTTAATCGACAAACAGATCTACTTTCAGTATTCAAACTAATAATATTTTCGTTTTAATTGAAAATGAAACGCTTATTATCTAAAACTGAAAGTTATTTGATTGCTATTGTAATGTTTAACTGAATGTTAAAACTAAATTATGTTTATTGCAATTATCTTAAATTTGTTTAAAAAAAATTCTTCTCCTGATGCAAGATTTTTTATAATTTATTTGTGTATACTTATAAGTTGATATAACAACAGAAAAAAATATCGATATTGTATGAATTTCTTAAAGATTTTCAAAACTTTGCCCTAGGGGCCAAAAATATGACTTAAAAAAAAACAAAACATTTTAAAATGTGTCTTGACACACATTTATAAAAATGTTTTTTCCTCTGAAATATCTGGTATTTTTGTTCTATTTTTTAAAAGATAAACTTTACAGAGCTTGGTCTAAATTTTAATTCCACATTTTGTAATGTCTACTTATAATTTGTTAACATCAAATCATTCAAACACTTTATTTTAATTTTCTTTAAAACTTTAACATGGATTTTAATTTCTACAGTTTAGAGTATTTTACTAACTTTTGACATTTTTGTAATGACTAAAAAATGATACTGAGACTAAAAAATAATAATTAAAAATACTAATGTTAATAACGAAAGACATAAATATTATATAATAATGGTAGAAAAAATATTATATTAATTCTAATATGTAGCTAATATTCTAATATAATATTAATTTAAATTCTCTAGGAAACCTGATGAAGGAAGAGGAAGTGTTTCAGTGGATGATTGATCTTCTGGCAAATGATGAAATAGAAGACATTACTGAAAATGCTCTGGACAGCTTAATTGACAACAATGAATTTGTAGTTGTGTTCTTTTGTAAGTATTTTACTCTCAAATATAGTAAGTTTTAATATTTTATTTACGAGATTTTCATTTTTAGAAAATAACCATTCTGTGAAAATTATTATGAAATTACAACAAGGAAATTTAGTTTTCAGAGCTGGGAGATCACTTTAGATAAAAGGTAAAACACACTGCATCCCGCCATCGCCTCATGCACTTCACAAACCCCTTTACTTTTATTTAATTGAATCATGTTGTGTTATCTCTATTTAATAATAGTTTCATTAAAGTTAATTTAAAGCAGACAGTAGTCAGATCGTCACGAAAAATCATATTTTATTTAATAGAATTTTATAAAATCGAATACAGTGCCATGTTAAAGTTAAGTGAAACGTTAAAATGACTTTAAAAGCTTCGAATACTTGCTGACTTTTACCAACTGTGCTGACATAAAGTATCCACAGTGGTAGTCAGATCTTGGGTTAGAGTCTCCTTGCCATCTGGTTAACCGTCGGACCGTAGGTTTCCGTGGTTTCCATCTTCGTGTAACGCAAATGTGGGTTAGTTCCATCAAAAAGCCCTCTACCAAATGCAAATTTCTCTCAATACTTAATCCAGGATTTCCTGAATGGGATTCAAAATTACTAGGCTTCAGAGTTGAACATTTGTATTTATATCCCCAAAATAGGGTCGGCTGTTCAACGACGGTTATAAAATAAAATATAATCTACTAGAGTCCTGGTGTCTCTGGGGATAGAGCACTCACTTACAATAAAGTAGCCCAGGTTCTAATCCCAGCGATGGCTGATCTATACGAATTCTGCCCCCGGCTCTCACCGACTACAGTGCAGACATAAAATATCTTAATTGGTAGACGTATGATGGGTTAAAGTCACCTTGCCGTCAGGCTAAATGCGAGAGATTTTCTTGGTTTTTCTCTACGTGTAACGCAAATACAGCTTAGTTCCATCAGAAGTCTTCCATGAAGTCAAACTTCTCCCAATACTTGATCCAGGAATTCCTTTGCCCTCTGGATTGGACTTAAAATTATATGGCTAAGGAGTTGACCATTGGTGGCCGTAATCTTAAAATTATGTAATCCGTTCAATAACTGTTATAAAATAAAATAAAATATTTTTCTTTTTTTTTAGTATCTAACTGTTTAATTTCGAAAAATCATTTTGAACGTAAAAAACACTTTCTTCTCCTTTGGAATTACGAATTGTATATTTTGCAAGATAGCTATTTTAAATATAGTTTATATAATATAACTATATTTAAAATAGCTATAATTTACTTTGTATTTGTGTACTATGTTACTTAACTACTCTGGTGGATGGACATGTGGTATTTTTTGTTTGCATAAAGTTATAAATCGTCATGGGCTGTTACTAACTCTTACGTTCCTTGCAGATGATAAAGATTCCAATTCAAGCACACAAATTTTGCAAGAGCTAGAAAATATTGATGATGACACTGACCGTCATGGAATCCCATTTGTTCGAATCGATGACGACACAGTTGCGAAAGAATACGGTATCCTCGATGAGTTGCCGATTTTAGTTTATTTTGAAAACAAAATACCCAGTGTTTATGAAGGTAAGTAATTATCTGCATTCATTTATTCTTCATAACCAATACTTTTCAGAAAATTTATAGTATTAAACAAATAAAAATATGCGTAATACTAAAAGTTTTTTGTTTTTAAAATTTGTTTAGTATTTACTGTTAATTACATTAGGGACAATTTTTAGTGCATTTATACATGTGCTTAATTTTGCGTTATTCGGGGAGGGGGAATTTAAAATCAGAAACTAGTTTTGTACCTAAAGCTGCAGACTTTTTTAAACGGCATTTTTGTCTATTTTTTGTTGAACTGTGCTAGCATAAAATGTAAAAAGCCGTCGTATAAATGGTGCGACAAACTTTTTGGGAAGTTCGAACACGTCTTTAGGATTGAAAACTCATAAGAAACCATGCCTGGAAATATCGTACGCCGCTAGAGGCACTTCGCTATTATGACTGAATTGCCATTTAAAAAAATATAGCTTAGAGAGACAAATCGATTGCAGATTTGAAATCAGTGATACGAAAGTATCTAAGATCTGTTAAAAAATCTCGCGCAACAGAAAAAAATATTGCTCCCCAGAGTTATACGTAATAACTAATACCCTCTTAAAAATTGTAAAAAAAATGAATACAACATGCAGATAATTACTGTTTCATTAAAGTCATAATACGAAACAAAATTAATTATTTATAATGACCAATATGTTCCTGAAAATTAGCAATGCTTAACGAAGTCAATTATAAAAAAGGACCAATAGATTTTTGAAAATCTATAAAACTTTAGTATTAAACAAAAAGTGTTATGCATACTAGTCAATACTTTTACAAGTTGCCGTATTATTAAACTAAATGAATAACATTAAAAGATAAATACTTTCTGCAAAATTATAGTATTAAACAAAGTAAATTATGCTCAATAAAAAATGCCCATCTTTAAAACTATTGAATTATACATAATGAAAATCATTGGGGTGATTGAAAAAGTGAATATATCGACAGGTGATCTTATGAAGGAGGAAGAAGTTCTGAAATGGATCATAAAGCAAAAGGAAGAGGATACCATAGAGGAGGTGACAGATGAGATACTTGAAGAGATGATCAAAAAATATGAATATATTCTAGTATTCTTTGGTATGGCATTTTCCGTTATTCAATTCTGCATTTTATTTAACCTCATTTGCTTTTCATTCTTTTTTTTTTAACCGAAGAAGTATATATTGCCAGTTATTTTAAAGAAAGATTCGGAAATTTTGGTTACTGGACAGTAAAGAATTGTAGTATTTTTTACAGTTGCTTTTTTTCCAAAATTGAAAATTACAAACAATTAATTGTTGATATTGTTAATGTAAAATGTCTGAGTCATCATGGTTCAGGGGATAAAAGTCTTGCCTTCCAATGAGGTGCAACTGGTTCGAATCCTAGCAATGGCTGGTTGAAGCGAATTCCGTTCCCGACTCGCACCGACCACAGGGCTGGAGTAAAATATCATCAGCGGTAGACGGGTCGTGGGTTAGAGTCCCCTTGCCTGCGGGCTAACCATGGGAGGTTTCCGTGGTTTTCCTCTCCATGTAGCGCAAATGGTAGTTACTTTTCAGGTGATGAGGACATGATGTAGGCTTTTGGACATGATGTAGGCTTTCTTAAACCAGGAGGATCGCTAACAACAAAAACGCTTTTTTTGAAGCATTTCTCAAATTATAGTAAACACTAAAGTGTTTTTTTTTTTTCCAAAAATGAAGAAAAATCTTAAGAAACAAGCGTGAGATAAAGTAAATTTCAGAATAATGATTTCTTATCTGATAAAATGATGATTTGATGATAAAATGATGAAAATTACTGATAAAATGATGGTGCGTTTTCGTGTTAAAAAGTATCGTTGAAAAAAATTGTGATCGGTGGCAATTCGCAAGCAAGTTTTTAATTGCCATTTGTTGTATTTTAGGCCGTTGATTTCGTCCTATACTTGCTATGTCTACTTCCTGGAAAGATAATAATCTAAATTTTTTTTAGTCCGTCATACGTGCAATAGTGCAATCCCTTCAAAAAAGAGTTGTATTTAAGAATTCTACACGTTTTATTTACATGGTTTGCATGAAAAAAAATCGAACGTTTTTAAATCTTCAATGAGCATAAATCTTGAGGGATAAAATCTATTAAAAATAGAAAATCTTGACATAGTGAACAGTTCAAAAGTTCCTAACATGTATTGCGCGTAACTCTCGATAAAACTTGAAACTTATAAGAAGTAAGAAATCCTATTTAAAAATTTCTAATTTTCTAACAAAAGCTAATAATAATAAAAGAACTATACCGGTTACTATTCAGATTACCGGTAAAATGTATATTGGGCAGTGGTACTCGTCATTAAACACTGATGCAGGGCATACTGGCCCAGTGTATACTGGTCAATGACACTGAACCTTAAAAAAACATCAGTTTAGAGTATAACGGGCAGTGGCTTTTAACTAGACCTAGTATATATTTCGGACATTTACCAAAGCGACTATGTAATTGTCAACATTCTCCAGTGGTTATATTCCAATTTCAGTCATTCACAATAACATCTACATCCAATTGAGAGTTCGTTTGCATTCATTAAATAAAAACGGATATCGAACAATAGTGAATCAGAACTCATCAACGATCATGCGTCAAATTCTGACGGGTGGTTAAACCATGAACTATGAAAAACTATGTTAAAACTATGGAAACTAGAACATTGTACAAACGAGTACCCGGTAAACAAGGTCACCTCAGTACATAAGTGAGAGTTGCTGACTCAGTTAGTCGAGGGAAGATAAAATGAAGTTAGTCGCTAATTAATGGTTAGTTGTTACTAAAAAATGTGCTTTTTATACAGGAATGTAGGGTCTTTAATAACGTGTTATGACGCGATCCTCCCTCTACGCGCTGCACTGTCAGCCAATCACAGCTATAGGTCTTATAACTGATAGCGGTCTCAATTTTAAACATTTATATTAAATGTATTGAGGCAAGAAAGAAATTGTAGCTGATTTTGTATTTTTATTCAGAGTATTTTTTTCGTCACTTTTAAACCATTCTTTCTTATTCATAAAGCACGTCTTTTAGTTTGGTCTACAATCCCTACCAGTGTGTTCAGTGATCGTAGAATCACCCTTTATGGCTCTATGTGGTTTCATCGAATTCAAGTCAACTATCACACTTTCTTGAGTAGTTTAAACATGAGAAAAAATAATTCTATTGGAATGCTGAAGGTAGAAGTCTGCTTCAGGTAGCCTAACTAATTTAGAAAATGGTAAAAATAATATTGCAGCTAACGTATAATGTACGTAAGGTAGAAAGAAACGTTGAATGAAATTTTTGAGCAAATCAGGGGATGATACTAGTTCAGAAATTAATCATGAAAAGGAAAACAAACAAATCAAAGAATGACAGGAATGAAATAATGTTTGAATGATGATAGTGAAAAGAAAAAAGAAACGTATAAGTTCAATAAATTATGTATCTTAAACTGTCTTTTATTTTTCAGCTCCCAATGATTGTCCGAAGTGTAAAAAAATTCTTCATGAGCTTGAAAACATTGACGATGAGACAGATGACAATGGAATATTGTTTGTAACAACAGACGACATGAAAATAGCAAAAAAACAAGCCAAACTTACCGAATTCCCTGCAATTGTTTTGTTCCGAAATGGAGTACCCATGGTATACAAAGGTAAAAAAAACACATTACTCATCACTATTTTCTTTAAAAATATGAGAACTTATTTGTTTTAATATAAGTTTATATAAATGAATGCTTTATTAAAAGCTATTTTGGTTTGATAATTTATTAACTTGAAAGAAATATGCAGTTATTTTAATTTATTAATTTTTTTCAGTAATAAAATNATGAACTTATTTGTTTTAGTACAAGTTTTTATAAATGAATGCTTTATCAAAAATTATTTTGGTTTGATAATTTATTAATTTGAAAGAAATATGCAGTTATTTAATTTATTATTTTTTTCAATAATAAAACTAATATTCATTCTTAGAGTTTTATATATCAGTAAAAATGTCTTTTTTTGAGAGAATTTTCCAACTGAGGTGAAAATTGGGGATGAATGCATTTTTCAGAAGTCTGAGATATACTACAAAAATTTGGAAGTTTCTTTAATTCAAAGAGTTTATAAAGTTACACAAATTTAGTTAATGGTGAATACAGATTGTGCTAAATAAGACTGATGGTTTTAAAAAATTTTTAACAGGATAAAAAACAATTTGTATTTTCTAGAAGGAAATTTATGTGTTATACCGTGAACTTACCTTTCAGAATTCCTTGTCATTGTTCAAAAAGTTTTTGCCAGTTGACACTGTAAGCTCTTTCAGCAGTTTATAGCGTTGCATCCTCCGAAAACTTGATTTTGATTGATTGATCGATAAAAAAATTATGATCCAATTTTCTTAATTTTTTTCTTTGATATGCCGATATAATATTAGCAGTGAGTCTCTCAGGAAAGTTTAATTTCAATCAGAAACTCTGAATATGATTTATGTTCTGTAACTTGAATTCACAGCACGATTTTTTTTCATAGAGTTCCTGTTATAAATATTTGAAAACCATCAGTCTATTTAGAACACCCTGTATTGTTTTCCCATTTACTTAATGTTACAATAATCGTCATTAAAATTATTGCTTTCTCAATGAACATTGAATGTTAAATTACAAGTGTTGGCTTATAATAAATTTCTTTTTCAGGAGATCTTCTTGATGAGGATGCCCTCTTGAAGTGGGTGACAAGTGAAGAAGCTCTTGACATTCCGGATAAAATTGATGAAGTGAACTTGAGAATGTTGGATAAGTTGCTGGACACTTCTCCTTACGTGGCAGTTCTTTTCTGTAAATCCCTTTTATGAATTATCATACTTAATAGTTTTTTTTTTGACTTCCTAGATCAGCTTTATTAAGAGATTTTTCAAGGAGATATAAAAAAGCTTCTGTTTAATGGTCTAGCACTACAGACATGACTTTAATTTACACCACCATTAACATGCACCATCTAATCGTAACGAATTATTTGGGCTTAAACATTTTAAAAGTCAGTAAGGATTTTTTAGAAAAAAAACACCAATTTGGCGAGTTGTTTTTACCCGAGCATAAATTAATAAAATCTATGACTAATTATCGATTTTTCAAATATTTCTTCGCCAAAATACTGTGCTAAAATAACCATTCATACAGTAAAAAATTAGATCACAGATGTTTTTCAATTTTAAAAACTGCAACTTCTCTTCATAGTAACATTTTGCGTCATTTTTGGAATAAGCATAGGTGCATTCTTTAAATTTAGGCAAAACTGAATCTCACAATCACAATAATTGCTACACATTCATAACAATTAAGAAACTAGTGTATTGTTTTCGAAAAGAACGTAACTTCATGTGACCGCAGAGCCCTTGTAATAACCCTTAATTTTTATTATTTAATTTAATTAATTAATTTATTTTTTATTTTATGTATTTATTAATTTTTATTTATTTTTCATTTATTTATTTATTTTTCATTTATTTATTTATTTTACTTATTTATTTATTTATTTTTTGATTGATGATTTTCTACTTTTGCTCTTAGCTAGACTTTGAAAGCTAAAGAATGCAATTGAATAATATATGTATTGTGACTGGCCAACTATTTTATTCTTTATAAAATACAGAAATTTAGTTTTTTCTTAAAATTTTTATCAATTTTTCAAAATTGGTATCGTTATATTTGCTATTTTTTACTTTTAATTATGTTCTGTATTATTTTATTTTTGTTTTTAGTTACCATATGATGAGCCTATGCTTCTAAGTTGAGGACATTATTTGATTTTTGTATCGTTTTGTTGCGATAACTTACCGTCGTCGTATAAATGAAAATCAAATGATGCATGAATTCAACGTTTTATTAAATAATTATTTAATTCAAATAAGACACGATGTTTCGATTGTTTAAAAAAATTAACAAAAAGATAATATCTTTAGAAAAAGGATTAATTGAAAGATATTTTTAGTACATTACTCTTCAATATTGAGTTTTTTTCTCGTGAATCGTAAAAAGTATTTGTTTTTAATTATTGAATTTATAATTATTGTTTCAGATAAAGAACATAATTCTGATTGTGAAAAAGTATTGGGAGAACTTGAAACCATAGATAATGAAGTTGAGGCCCTCGATATAGACATCGTAAAAATTTCTGATGCTGACATCACTGAAGAATATGGTATCATCACGTTCCCCACTCTAGTATTTTTCAAGAAAAGATTCCCACAATTCTACGAAGGTGAGAAACAATTTTTCCTGTAATAAATTAAACAATTCGCCTTCTTTCTTAAGAAACTAAACAAACCTGATAGGAAGTCTCGCTGATCTATTCTGATGCTATAGCAGAGCGTGACTGTTTCTATTTTTCCACTCTTTCCTCTTTAATGCAATACTCTATTGAATTCGGCTGGATGGGTGTAATGGAAATTTAACATCTTAATTTCTGATCTCAAATTAGTACTTCGACGCGTAGTTCACAAAAAAGCAGATCTGCTGCTACCTGTAAACGAGGTTTTTGCCATCGAAAACTAATAATTACATTAAAAAATAAAGCGAAAGTGATTTAAACAAGGAAAAAAATGGAAATCAAAACAAGCAAATCTTTTACCTGAAGTTGAAACTATCTCTGCAAATACTGCTTTCTACCGTAGAGAACGTGAAACGTGGTAGAGAATAAAGTCAACAGAAAAGCGACAAACTATAAGCTTTTAATATTTAATGTTAAAAGTCACCAGGCACCAAGAGAAAATAAGACCAACTAAAAAAAAAATTATACACTAATGTTTTCAAAATAAATAAAAAATGCTTGCAGCAGCGATACGGTACTGTCTGAGGAATATTACATTAACAGGTGCCTGTGCAAATAGAACTCAGAATGGCTTAACATGCGGCAGAAAATATTATATTTAGTTCTTGAATCAACAGTGCCATCTATCGATAAATTTTGTATTTTTTTTTATTGAAATCTACTAGAAATCAGTGTTTCCTTAGCAAATTGCTAATACGCATTTATTAATCCCTATATTTTTAAATTACAATTTTTTTTTTAAATTTACTGTCATATTTTGGTAACTTTTTATAACATTGCTATAAATAAAATGATTTTGAGAAAAAAAGCTAAGGCAGATGACTACGACTTATTAAAAATAAGGTATCAAATAGCTTTAAATACCATATATTATTTTATAAGTCTATTCTTATTTATTTGCATGCATTTTAAAAATGTTTTTGGTGCATTTTGTTTCTTAAATAAGTTGTAAAAATTGAGACTCAAAATAATGAAATTATTTTTTTTTATAAGAAACATCTTGTTTATCCTAGGGGACCTCATGGATGAACACAAGGTCTTAAAGTGGCTCGTAGAAAATAAAGAGAAAAAGGAAGATGTTATAGAATTTGTTGATAAGAAAATGTTGGATGTATTGTTAGATGATGTTGACCACATCTGTGTTTATTTCTGTAAGTGAACTGTATGCAAATATATATTCTCTAAATTCATCATATTGATTAAAAAAAACATTTCACCATTTTTTCTCACCAAACATTTGTACCATTGTTTCCATCAAAAAAGTTTCCAAAGGACCCAGTTGCTAAAGGGCCTAGTTCCTTTTTAATGTTTTACGTAGGTTTTCGATGATTCAGTTCTTATACTTCAGTTCTCCTTTTCATAGTTTTCATTTGTTCCATTGTTTCCATGCAAAATTTTCCAGAAGACTCAGCTGCTAAAGGGGCTAATTCTTTCTTAATGTTTTACAAAGGTTTTCGTCGATTCAGTTCTTATACTTCAGTTCTCCTTTTCACAGTTTTCATTTGTTCCATTGTTTCCATGCAAAATTTTCCAGAAGACTCAGCTGCTAAAGGGGCTAATTCTTTCTTAATGTTTTACAAAGGTTTTCATCGATTCAGTTATTATACTTCAATTCTCTTATCAAAGGTAACAAAGAACTTTTTTTTCACAGAAAAAATGTAACAAATTAAGACTAGAAAGTTTCTAGACGACTCAGCTGCTAAATGGGCCAGAAGGACCCAATTTCATCTTAGTGTTTTACGAAGATTTTCGAAGATTCAGTTCTTATTCTCACTTCTCTTATCAAAGCTAACAAAGAACTCTTTCGGAGGTTTCATTTGTTCTATTGCTTCCATGAAAAATTTTCCGGAAGACTCAGCTGCTAAAGGGGCTAGTTCTTTCTTAATATTTTACAAAGGTTTTCGCCGAGTTAACAACGAACTTTTTCTAGTTTTAATTTGTTACATTGTTTCCGTGAAAAATGTTTCCATAAGTCTCATCAGCGAAAGGTCATAATTCCTTCTCTTGTATGAAGGTTTGTGTATGAAGGTTTTCGCCGATGAAAATAAGAGTGACTATTTATATGCTTTAGGATCAGGCTAAGCTATAATTTTAAACTATATATACCATCTAGCAGCAAATAATTATACAGTCCTTAAGACGGATATATAGCTTAAGAATATTAAAAGTTTAAATTTGCCAATTTTGCGAGATTTTTTCCAGCTCAATGAAAATTCTTAAAATCTATGAATAGTTCTAAATATTTACAAATTTATATGAGCCCAAATAATGTAGCGTTGAAATGAATTAAATCGTTTTGCAAGCACGTTTTGTGCCCTTTTCAGAATTGGCGTAGAGGGCGATGGCTAAAGATAGCCCAAATTTATCCCGAGAGTCATGAGTAACTATTGTAAACTCACAGCAGTTCTGAAAATAGCATATTATTCACAAAAAAGCATTATTTTATGTGACTACTGAACTTTCAAAAAACAGTTTTAGCCAATACAAAATATAGGAATAACATTGTCAAAATACAATAGCGGTTTAATAATATAGTAGTAATATAATAATATAATAGTAGTATAAAACCGTAACAGTTCCTTTAGTTATTAATTATCTTGTTTTGAACTATTATTAGCAGAACGAACTATCATTTATTAAAATATTGGTTGACAGCTACTTTGATTTTAAATTTTTAGTGACTGTTGTTTTAAATGGAAAATGATTTAAATTAATGTTTGGGAGGAAACTGTTTGTACTATCAAAGAAAATGGAATTTCTGGAACAGAAATTATTAAACTTTTTATCCCTTTTACTCAAAATTGTTATGAAACATATTTTCATACTTTTTTTATCATTTTTTATTAATTTAGGTCAACGGGGAAAATATTATACTTATCATTTTAATAATTTATAGTTAGGAAATGCAGTATGCAACACAGTTGTTTCTTTTTCTGCATTAAAAGTAAAATATTCCAAACAATAAATTTTCTAAATTGCACTTATTTGCAGTTATTTAGATCTCAGAGAAACAGTTATTCAACAGTGAAATTTCTTTAATTTACATAATCAATTATTGATTAATTTTTGGATATGAATGAAAAAAGTAATTTTTTAAACTACTTTTTTTTGGATTTTATATTTTAGTGCAAATATAATTCCGTCAGTATACTAACTTTAGTAGTCAGTTAGACTGTTTTTCATATTTGAAAATTTCAAAATATCAAAATATATTTTCGCCTGTAATTATAAATTTTTTGATATAAATGAAAAAAGTAATTTTTTAAACTACTTTTTTGTATTTTATATTTTAGTGCAAATGTAATTACGTCAGACTAACAGAATTTTTAATAACTATTACACTGTCTTTTATAATCGAAAATTTCAAAATATTAAAATATATTTTCGCTTGCAATTAGAGCGAAATTTTGAAAATACACAAAAAGGACACTAAAATGAACTTTTTTCAAAAGTTATTTTAAAGATAACGTTTTTGAGGTTATGTGTTTTCTATCGTCTACTGATTTGTTTTCCTTATGTTTTTAAAGATGAAAAATCATGCACTGAATGTGAAAAAATCATCAATGAACTAGAGAATATTGATGATGATACTGATAAACATGGAATCCATTTCATCAAGACTGATGACGTCAGACTAGCTGAAGAACTTGGAGTCATCGAATTTCCCAGCCTTGTATATTTTGAGCATAAAATACCCAGCATTTATCCAGGTTTTTAAATTTTTACTTTTTTACCAAATTTCAATGTTTATTTTCTAATATATACTAAATGTTTGATTTTCTTTCTTGATAGTTACTTTTATAAAACCAATTAATTTAACAAATTTGTAATATTTAACTTAACAAATTATGCCTTATTTAAGTTTAACTATACAATGGATATTGTATAGTTAAACTATCATTAAATGAAATTATTTTGTTATTATAAGATTTTTGTATTTGAAATATTGTAAATCATATTATTGCTTAAAACCCCGTCTAATTTCTTTTAGTTTTTTTTCCTTTGCTTATTTATGCTAATTTTTGCTCATATACCATTATTTAAATATCATTCGGGTTTTTAACTATTGTTTAATTTATGCAATACAGGTTAATATCTAGATTCTATTACTTATACCAAAATCATGGTAAATTGTGTTTACTTAGTCTCCTTTCATTTAACAGTTCTAATCTTTCCTTAAGTTAAATGATTTATTTCTTACCTTTTAATGTGATTTTGTGATAAAAAAATTTGAAACTTTTGAGAATTACAAAAATGTATAATAAATTTACACTAACTTTTGTTTTTAAATCATCTCTAATTTATTACATTTAGTCCTCGCATTTTACCGCCGTTAAATATTAGAAAAAAATCAAGATCATTTAATTTGGTAATTAGCGAAACTATATTGTTTTTTTTGAATATGGTAAACGTTCATTGTAACAAACGTAAACACACGAAATTATATTTTGGAATTTTGGAATGATGTTGTATTTTAGATATTTTATGGTTTACAAAAAAACACAGAATGTTTTTTTTGTATTTAGTTAAAAATAAATTTTTAATATACCCAAATGTTTCATTATATGCAGGTTTCATTATATTATAGTTCGTTGGTACAATAGCAGTTTTACTTTTATACATATTATCTGTATTTATGTTAGTAAAATGCTGACCGGAATGTGCAGGCTAGGGAACTGGCCTTGCATCAGAAGGTTCTGGATTCGAATCCCGAACAACGCACGGATGATCTTTCATTCTCTGTACTATATGTCCTCACTGTGAGAACAACATTGGCCCACCTAATATGGTGCCCCTAAAAGAGTTGCCAACAAATCTGTTCTAATGCGCCGATATTGTCGAACTGTCATTCAACATGGGGAAATTGTAAAAAAAAATAGTACGATTGCAGTATTTTTTATTATTTATTTATTCTAAATTACATTTTACGAAATACACTTAACCGTCACAGAGTATAGTATATATGAAGATGATAAAAACCTGAATTTTATTAAATCAGCAGATCTGTTTGTTATTTAAAAATATTTCAGTTTCCTCTAATTCTTTGTTAGGTGATTTATTGAACTCAAATAAGGTGCTGGAGTGGCTTTTGAAGGAAAAGAATGAAGACACCATTGAAAATATCAACCGTGAAATGTTTTTAAAACTCATTGAAGACAGAGAGTTCTTAGCAGTCTTTTTCTGTAAGTAAAATTTGAATTATAATTCGCCGCTGCAGTTTATTTTTAATCAATACGATACATTATCTACTATGTGTTACCTAATATAACTATTATTTTTCATGATACATATACCACTTTAAAATAAATCTAAATTAGTATTCTCTCAATTATATAATCTATACTGCCATGTAATAGAAAAATCAACAAATCAACGTAAGCGACCAAAAATTCAAAATTGAAATTGTTAGATATGTAGCGTCTTTGTATGGTAAGCTACATATTGCAAAATTTTTTTTTTTAAAAATAATCAGTTATCAGTTTTAGTTTTATTAGTTATCAGCTTTATCAGTTTTTGGAAATTCTGTTTTAGTGCTTATAGCATTAGCATTGAAGGAAAATAGTTGTCGTGCCACTTTTCTCGGAATGTGTCTCAAGGTACTTACGTTGTTCTTTAAATTGTACGGCAGTATTATATACATTAGTTGTGTACATTATGTACAATAGTATGAAAAATTTTAAGGGTACCAATTGCATATTTGATATCAGTTACCGAATTTGGAATGGTTTCTTTTTATTAATTTAGTTTACATTTTGTAAATCTCGATAATTTATAATGTTAAAATGCCTGTTTGTATGAGGTATAAATTTTGCAAACTCACATTATTACTTTATTTTAATGCTCTAAGAGATTTAGATTTTTTAAGAACTAATAAAATGCAAACGATGACTTTCAGAAACAGTTTCAAATTACATTCGGCCATCAAAATAAATTATGTTTAGGTCCTGCTCTCCTTAATGGTGATTTGACATGATTTTTGTATTTTTTATTTTTATAAGATTTTTATCAGCATTCTGATTCTAAAAATATATTAGGGTTGTAATTTTTAATAAAGTCTAAAACATTTTTATGCCTTAATAAATTTTTTTTGAAGATGGAGAGAGTGACAAAGAAAGTGAGGATGTTACCCATCACCTGGAGAAAATAGATCACATCTGCACAGAGTATGATGTTCATCTGGTCAAAATGTCTGACAAATTCATGGCAAAAAAATATGGAGTGAAAAATCCACCTGGTCTTGTGCTTTTCAGAAATGGAAAACCAATTAAATATCCAGGTAAATAAAATAACATACATAACCTTGAATTGCTCGCACTTTTGATGAAAACTAAGCATTAAATGAAAATGTAAAATTCTCAAATTACATTCATTCATTTATTTAACGTTTAAGCATTGCATTGCTTTATATCTAAAGAAATTTGGTGATGAAACTTTGATGTTTTTAAAAAAAGATGCAATTTAAACCTTTTTACATTATTAAATGTTTCAATTTTTTCAAATTATTATTTTTTTGGGTAAGGGTTTATCATAAGTTAAATGCTTATAAGTGTCTGGAAACCCTTAAAAATTTTAAAACTATGTACGGTTGAAATTGTCTCTTATGGGTTCCAATTTACAACTAACCCCTGTAAATATGACCCAAAAAGCAAACGGTTTATTTGGAATACCATCTCTCCGTCAATTCAAGTAGTTTTACGTAACCTAAATATTCTTATATATATATAACTAATCAAAAAATCTGCAATTTTTTTATAATCGAGCGAAATATTTTTTCAGGAAAACTTAAGGACGAGGAAGAAGTCCTGGAGTTTCTTACAAGCCCAGAAAATATGGCCGTGAGTGATATTATAGAAAAAGTAAACACCAGAATGTTTGACCGAATTCTACACAGATTCGATTATGTTGCTGTTTTCTTCTGTAAGTATACTAGGTGTTATTTTGAATATATATATATTGTGACAGTAACAATGTGTTATAAACAGTGCAACATGCATTGAAGTGATTGAGAATTAATTAGTAGTACTAAATTTATTTTTAATGTACTATAAACAAATCTCTTCAACAGTTGGTTCTGGTTGCAAGACGTGTCCAAAAGTATTGGATGAACTTGAAAAAATAGACGATGAAGCTGAGGCGGAAGGAATCCATATCGTCAAAAATGACGACAGCAGTCTCGCGAAAAGATATGGAATCTTTGCCTTCCCTGCTCTCTTGTTCTTCCATGGCCCTCAATCTGAGCCTATTATTTATGCTGGTAAGTATCAATTAAAACTGTTACTCTTTAATATAGCCTACTATTATTTCATTTATTTCAGCCAAATTTGTAAATGGCATTTTGCTAAATATAAGGAGAGTTTTTTATGGTGAAGTTCTAAAACTTGTAACCCTTTTTTTTCTCACGAAAATTTTAACTCACGAAATAAAATGCTCCAAAAAACTGATCATGTATTGGATATTTTTGGTTGAAAAAAATAGCTTTTTTAAAAAAACGGAAATCATTTTACCGAAATTCATGTAGTATAAAAATGAAGTGATGACCTCTTGGTTGAAGTATAACAGTCCACATTTAATAAAAAAAAACTCACTTCCTTTCTGTGAATAAGCACATACAACATGAGATGTTATTCAACTCAAACCATACATAAATCTCAATTGAGAGACAGCTAAACGATACTGATTCTCTCTTATAAAAATCTGCGAACCATTGCAGTATCTAAGTTTTTAAAATATCCTTTAACTACAAAAATGTTGGTTATCATTTTTTACTCCCGAAGTCTTCAAATATATAATTAAAATTAAATAGTTGAAACTATTGAGTCATGTAAGCTATTGTCAGCGCTGTGTCAGACTTAGCTTTCAACAAACATCAGTATAATAGAGGCCGTGATTGCCTGGTTGGAAAGGCTCTAGACTTATGTTCGCGAGAACGCGAGTTTGAATACAGCTGGTCGTAGACTCCCCGTGCAGTAAATGGTGACTGGTGTACGTTAAATCTGTCGGGTCACAAAGACCTCCATGTTTCCATAGCAAATTATACCTCTGGGGGTACTGAGTTGGAGATTGATCATTCTCTAGTTCAGGTCAAAATTACGCTCTGTGGATGAATGAATGGGTGTATGAAAGGGTTCGCTCTATAAGCGGATGTGGCAGAAATCGAATTCTTGACGGTGCCATTGGAAAACAGGAACAATCACACCTCTTCCCTTAATGGCCTACGACGACAATGACATTAGTATCATAGATAGATACGACGCAGAAATTATGAGAGTGGGGGCAGCGATTATCATTCCAATTTTTAGTGGTGGTTCATGTAGCATCTTCGTAGCCTCATTTATTATATTTTTGGTTGTGTGAGATACACTTCAATTTGAATATCATGTTGTGATATTAGTTTCAGAGAAATGAATAAATTGTATAGGAAGAATTTGATTTATTATGTAAATATTAGATTGAAAATGGCCATATATAAAATGAAGAGCCAATACATAAAAATAAGAAAAAAACCCATAAAGGAATCAAGAAAAATCATTATTTTCATATCGAGAATTTTTGTTAAGATTGATATTCAACTGTTGGGACTGGGAGGCTCAAAAGTCACCCCCCCTACAGTTGCCAAAAATTAGAAATTGAAAGTGACTGAATGGTTCCCAACGGACAGTTAGGAGTATGGGAAGAGATCGAAGGTTGGCAAATTATTGAAAGATAACATAGCAAAAAACAAAGCCACCCCCCTAATCAGTATTAAATTTAAAAATGGTTTGGCGATCGCGAATCACCTAGAATACTGTGAAAATTTGTACAACCAAATAACTGAAACTTTTTTGTGGTAGTAAATAAAGAATAAAGAGTTATGAATATATTTTTGTTTCAACACAATTTGAAATGTTAAAATGATTTCAGGTTTGGGTAAATGTTTTGAGGAAATAGTATACATATAAGCTTAATGAAAACAGGCAAGGGAACAAATTGACTGCTGCATGAAGCTGCGATTAAATATCCAGAAGTTATATATTGCTGTTTGTTTAAATATTTATTAAAAAGTTCTCCGAAATGTGATTAACTTCAATCAGGAATAAAAAAGAATGGAGTAAGGTATCCTTTACATATTTCTCATTACGAACTAATGATGTGGAACGGACGGAAGTGAGTCATTAAACCAATGAAAACCTTCCGTGGTTAACCTGATGGCAAGTAAAATCTCTATCATTGAGGATATTTTAAGTCAGCATTGTGGTTGATGCACTCCGGGTGTGGAATTCGTATCAACCAGTCATAGATAGGATTTAAACCCGGTTCATCTGATTGGATGGCGAACGCTCTATCCCCTGAGCCATCATGGCTCAAATTAAAGTATTAACATTATTATACCTATTACTAACATGTAGTAAGAGTCTCCAAGCCTATTAAATGTGTTTAATAATTCCATCAGAAAGGTTCTGGGTTCGAATCCCGGGCAAGGCATGGATGTTTCTTTCTCTCTCTGCGTGTTCTATGTCCCTTCTCCTTTGTGTGTGAATGTGACCCTACAAACGGGTTGCGGTTGTGTGAATGGCGTGGCAGAAGTCGAATTCCAGGCCATAGATGGCACCACTGGAAAACAGGAACAATCGTTCCCCCACTGCCTAAACAGGCATACGACAAAAAAATATGTATATATATTATTGTAAAGAAGAAAACAATCACACAATCTGCTCTTATGCTCACAATGTTAAACACGTCTAAACATTATCATTCATTTATTCATTTTTTTTTAAATAAAATTCTAAAACTTACAAGTTTTTCAAAAAAAGTTTTTAAATCCTGTTCAGTTTCTATCACTTGCTTACAAATTGAAATCATTACTAGGTGACATCAAAAATGGCCGACGAATGCTAGACTGGTTATTAGGACAAAAAGATCCGAGTGCTGACGTCATAGAAGAAATTGAAGGGGACGAGTTACGAAAATTGATTCAAACTGCTGATCATTTGGCTGTATTTTATTGTAAGTTTTTAAAAATTGTTTCTAAATATTTAAAAACTAGTTTCTCTTACGCTCACTGAATATTAAATATTGTTTTCAAATTGAAATAAACTGCCACCTAAATTTCCAGTTAAACAAGTGAAATATATTGCAAAAAAAAGAAAGAAAGAAACCCTCCTTTTTTTCTCATTTAAACAATATGCTCACCATTTGCTTTTGTAAAATTTGTGTAATATTTTGCAGACGATAAAGCGTTGTGCTCCAACTGTGAAAGTGAGAAGATTGGTAAGCATCCATTTTATTTTCTATAATTTTTAAATTAATGTAATAATGTTAAGCACTTTTAAGCTTTTATAAATACGTGATAGTTCTTGATATCTGTCCCCGATTTACATCTTTGCATACTTTAAAAATATATTTTCTTATTCATTAAAATATCACACAAAAAGGTATTCTCAAAGAAACTTACATGGAATTTCTTGCTGAAAGTTTTTTTAGCCTTCTTTTAACAATCAAACTGATTTTTAATGAGGGTTTGAAAAAATTGTTTTTCTCATTAGAATTTTTCTTTTGGTCTCTAATATGCATAAATTTTTTTACTATGTTTTCACAAGGATTTTGTGGTTTTTTAAAGCCGAATAAGCTTACAAATGTACGATATGTAAAAATTTAAATGCCATGTGTACCTTTAAAAGTTGTGATACATTTATTGTTGCTCATCACCCAACCATAACCAAATATCTAGCTCACTTTTTAAGGGACTTATCAGTCAGGCGACGTGGAGGAGTGGACAGCACCTGACTTGGTATACCACTTCTCAAACATCCACACTTAACTAGCGACATTCAGCCAAGGTAGTTTCAGCATGTGCTATCTTGCTGCGAATGCATGCTGTTATTTAAGTGGTTGCCAGGATCTAACTAACGACGTATATTTGCAACAAATTGCCCGTTAAATTTTATGTGGTTGAAATTTCTCTTACTGATTGAAGATTGGATCGGGGGTTGGTTCAACTCAGCAGTTATCGGTTATCGTCTGACCGTGATCAAAATAACTTGGTATCTTAATCATAGCAATTAAAAGATAGAGCAAAGAAAAATGGGACTTTGTGCTTTGTGATGTTTGGAGTATGTTTGTTGTTATATCACATCTTCTATACCGACAAATTTAAAATGCATAGCATTTTAATTATTTTTATATTGTTGTTTTAACCATAAAAATCGGACTAAATACAACAAATTTACTTCATAACTTCCTTTTTGATATGAAAATATTGCATTGCAATGATAAGGTATAATTGAAGCTATTAAAACTCTTTCTTTAGTGCATTTTTTGAGCAGCTTATTTTCTCCAATTATTAGTTCAGCTCTCCATAGTTATCCAGTTATCAAAGTATTCGAACGATCATTATGTTTTGTTAAGTAAATTTCATTATGTTTTCCAAATCGTAGTTTTTGGCGAAAGCTCTCTCCGGTGGAAAGAAGAAAGGAAATATTGTGTTGTGTTAAAATGATTTAGTAATTTAAAATGTATAGAATAAAAATAAAACTACTTCAGATAAATCCAGAGTAAACTATATGCTTGCAAGTGAGGATTTTTTTATTTATCAAAATCTAAAAATGCAAAAAGTTACTACCGAATTACTCGCCCTTAGAAAGATCATTATGGTAGAAAGAGGAAGTAATCCTGGCATAATTTGTTTAAATTTTGATGGTTTGAAGGGAAAATTTCAGAATTTGAAACTTCATAGCTTATCTGACTTCTCCTATTTATGTATTATACCTTTTAAATTAAAAATGGAATTGATTGTGCAGCTCTAGTTCAACGTAATTAAAGTAACTATACCTAAAAATGGAATTGCAGTAAAATTTGCCATGAAGTATTTGTCCCAATGCCCGCTAAATAACTTAATGTTTTGATATTTGAAATGCTTGGTTGTTTGCAAAAGGAAAAAAAATAATCTATATTTGTATTATCTATATTGTCATTTTCTTCGCCAAACTTGGCTCGAATTTCGCTATCCTGACATCTCCAAATTTTAATAATCTTTTTTTGAGAAACTACGTAATGTGTTTTTGAAAAAAAAATTATAGCTTATGGTAGTTATCATTTTATGACATATATTGCAGTTTATAATAATATCATTATATCAGTTTATCACATTGGAGAGACTCTTTAACATTAGTAATTGTATCAACAACAAAAAATCCATATAACTAATTTACTTGTGTTTATATCCAATGCAGATGCAATGGAGTGTGAAGACTGTCAGATTATAATGGCTGAGTTAGAAGATATTCACGATGACACTAAACGAAATGGTATTGAATTTATTAAAACAACAGATCTCATAGTTGCCAAGTCTTATGGAATAAAAATAACTCCAGCTCTAGTATATTATGAGAACGAAGCACCCAGCATCTATGAAGGTAAATAATTTTATTTCCTGCATAGATTATTTACTACAATTAGATAACGTGATTAGATACTAACAACTACAATTAGATTAGATCCAATATTTTCGAATAAGCTTTTCATGAAAATATATTGGAAAAGTTTTACATTTTGTTTCGCATTAGCTAGCTTAGTTGCGCTGTTGAGAATCAAGATTGTTCTAAAATAACTGCTTTGCTCAGAGCTTATGTACACTACTGTGTATGTACGTGAAGGTACAAAACATCCCTGCTTTGACAAATAAATGAATACATTACATAGTATAGAAAACATTCCAAATTTATAAAAAAGTATTGCAATGCTTCACTGTAGGTATGGTGAAACGCTGTCCTATTACAATGTTCAAACCTTTGCTGTTAACCGATTATATTGTTCAAATTTGAAGAAAAAAAATTACCAAAATGGCTAAAAAATAGCCAAAACATCTTATGAGAATTCTTTTCTTTTCTGGAACATTCTTTTCTTTATCTGTAAGCATTTTATCTCATTTAAAAATATTTGCTTTTTTATAAGCATAAAATTTATCTTGACTAAATATTATCTATTTCTTTCTTTCCTGAAAAATAGTTTTATTTTCGAGAACGAATAGTTCTTGAGAAACTGAATTTCAAAAAGTCACACATTTAAAATTCGATTTTTCAGGAACTATTTGATGTGTTTTGCTCCAATTTTGCGTTTTGCCATGTTAAGTTGTATTCCTTAAAATGATGGAAAAAACTGTACACCTTTCAAATCAAAATTTTTTCAACCGTTATTAAATAAAATAATAAAAAATAACAAGCATTTAATTATCTTTTGCAAGGAATTATCTTTGAAATAACGAATTTTATAAATGAGTGCCAAAATTGTTCAGTTCGCTAAAAACGTTTTTGATATATAGTGAAATACACAAAAAGTAAAATTAACATTAAGGAGTCAAAACTTTGGTCCGCTCTCCTGACCTAACTATTAGGACCATATTCCCCACATTTGCTGCTAACCCCTATATTTTGGGGTCAGAAATTCAAAGCCGTATTGGGAAAAAAATTTACGTTTATTCAGATAAAGTACATTTTTGTGTCTAGTTTAATTACATACAACATCGTTTTATTACTTAAAACATCGTTATTAGTTAGTATATTTTAGGTCACCCCCTCGAACCATTAAGATTGAGTCCTAGAACGTGAAGATCAGATCATTAGATCAAAAAGTAGTTCAGGGTAGTCCTTTTCTTGCGCTCTGTACTTCATATTAGTATCATCCAAAAATCAATTACGTAGCAGTTACAGTTACAACTAAATATGCACAGATACAATTAAAATTCCTTCATATGTTTGAATTAAGTCCGTTTCAGATGAAAGATATCTTGTAGTTTTTATTATCTATTTCTTCTAATTATCGCAGGAGATCTTGCCGATGAAAATGAAGTGTTTGAATGGCTTCTTCATCAAAAGTCAGAAGATACTATTGAAACAGTAAACAAAGCCATGTTAGAAAAGATGATCGAAGAGAGTCAGTATTTGGCTGTTTTCCTTTGTGAGTATAATAATTTAACTATCATTTCTAAAGTACGTAAATAGGGTAAAAATTTTCGAAATTTATTTGATGGAGGTACAAATGTATGGAGTCTAACCAATTATACTATTACTGAAAACGCAATATTCGCAATTCTGTTCATACGATACAGGTGTGTCGTGCAAGGTAAGTCCCAAAAAGTACTTTATTAAAAAAAATTTGTTAACTATACGGTTAATAGTCTTAATAGTTTTTAAAAACAGTTTCCACAAGCATCCACACGTTTTTTTTCTGAAAGACCCTAAAGGCTGCTTCGTAATATGAAATGATGCATTTTTGCAAATAATGTGCTATTTTTGTAACTGCTGTGAGTTTGCAACTGTTACTCATGACTGTTTGGTCAAGTTTAACCTATCTAAAGACAGTGCTGTCTACGCTTATTTAAAAAAATGGCGCAAGACGTTAGTATGGAGAAAAGCCACAGTTTTGTGAAAATTAAAACCGCTTGTGGTCTAATTTACACCTACAATCTGGCACTTTTTCCATAAGTAATGTCTAAGTTTCCTCACCTTTTTGATCAATTTTGGAACTCAACTATATCGCTCATCATTGATCAAAACTATTCCCTATCGTATGCAGCTCAAATATGTTTACACTCTATCATCGAAGACTTTGATACCAAAGAAGCTTGAAACAAACTAAACCGTTGTGCTCTCTGAATCTGATAAACCCTCCCACTTAGCCAGACCAATTAGAAAACGCTGGGTGAAATAGGAGACCCTGAGAAAATAGTTTTCGTCAATTTTGCTACACGCCTCGTTGGAAACTTAGTGTAAATATCGAATGTTTAGAATAAATTTTCAAGCTTGAAGGACATTTCAAGTAGCATTTCAAGACAGAATATGAATTATTTCTATGCAATGTGTGTAAATCTTACACTATCACTTACATCAGTATTTTTATTTAATAAAGAAAGTTTTAAGGTTTAATTTAAGGTTAAATGTAATAGTAAGTTTCACATGGTGAACAAAATATTTTTTTATATTAAATCTGTTGCAATTAGTTTTTAAAAATTAGAAAAAAAAATGTTTCCCATATCCCATACTTTGTTTACTTAGTGAAAAAAATTTTTTGAAGAAATACTTTGATTGCCTGAGGATCTGTAATTGTAGGAAAATGCAAAATATTCTCGGGCCAAAAATCTAAGGGTTAGCAGGTCTGTTATCCTTATTAAAAATGGAAATTTTTTCTTCTTCTTTCTTTTAAATTGAAATAGTGTTTTATGCAATGAGTACCGAAATGCATATTACATGAAAAATATTTTTTTTAATGAAAATTCGAAAATTGAATAAAAGTTTCACATGATTTCAGTTTTAAAAATGTTTTACTAAGGCGGTAGATTTAAAGAATGAATACAGTTGACTGGAATGATTAATTTCAAATCAAAAATTTAAATTCTTTATTTATAAGAAATATAAGCATTTAAAATACGAGGGATATTTTTTATTTTGCAGAAGTATTAAATATCCTCATTTCATTTGTTTATAATTAAAATTTTTTTCCAGATAAACCTCACTGTCGAGCCTGTGAACTAGCCCTATTAGAATTGGAAAATATTGATGACGATACGGATTTGTACGGAATCACTGTGGTTCGTATATTCGATATGGAAATTTCAAAACGCTATGGTATCAAAACTTTTCCTGCTTTGATATACTTCAGGAACGGAAATCCTTTGATTTTTGATGGTAATGATTATATCTTTATGCAGCAAAAATTAATAATTTCAAAGTTAAAATATTCATTAGTCAACTGAAACTATAAAACGAGATCAACTCTTTTACAGCTGACTTAAAGAATGAAGAAATGGTTCTGGAATGGTTGATAGACGACGATAACAGAGAACTTCCAGATGAGATTGAAACAATCAACCTCAGAATGTTGAATAAACTTGTTGAAGAGTCACCTTTCCTCGCTGTCTACTTCTGTGAGTTCAAAACTGTTTTGTTGTTACCAGAGCAACATTAAAATGTAATAAAATAGTTTCAAATAAATATTCCCAAGAATTTGAAGCAGTAATATAATACCCGATTAAAAACTTCCTTCGCTTCAGAAATATATAAATAGTAAATAACAGTCCACGCGTTTCAAGCGTTCAAAAATAGGCGTCAATTTTCAAGACATGCCCGACAAATGTGAATGAGAAGAAGCAAAAATGATTTGAAATATAAAACATAATGTGACAATAGATATGCCCTTTATCAAAAAGACGAGAAATCATCAATAGCTGCACAATGTTGGAATATTGGGCATAAATTCAATTTCAATTTCAACAATGCCAAAATTATTTCCATCCTAGTGACATCAGTTCAGGTCGATACCCTGAGTTTTTGTTTCATTCATATGAATGTTGCTTCCTTTGCCAACGCCATTAGTTTCTCACCACCTCTCCATAGCGCTTGGAAATGCATTTTATCCTGATATGCACCTTTCGGCCGCTGTGGTCTTTCTTGTTCTGTTTTTCGTTTTTTTCTTCTATAGGCTACTGTGGTTTTTCTAGCTTCGTTTCTCAGCTATTTCCATTTTTCGATGACAAATTTTGCGTTTAATATTTCAAAATATTTTTGTTTCTTCTCATTCACATCTGGCAAGTATGGAAAATGGGTGCCTATTTTTGAGCGCTTGAAGCATGTTGATTGTTTTTTTCCTATTTATATATTTTTAAAGTGAATGAAATTTTTAATCAAATAATATCTTACCGATTCAGTTTCTTGGGATTATTTATTTAAAACTATTTTACTACTTTTCAATGTTGCCCTCTCTAATATAAGGAGAGTATGAACTTGTATTGTATTTCCGTGAAAAAGCATTTTTAACAACCTCCCAAAATAAGCTTATGATTTTATTTTATGAAATTGCTGTGATATTTTGATATGATCAACGCATTCAGAAGTTGTATTATTTTTCTAGGGTTTTATTAATTCCCTTCCGTGTATGTGAGATAGGAATCTAAGAATGGAAATTTTGACAAATTGTCTATGTTCTTATTAACTCGCTTTGGTTTTGGGGAAAGTGGAATTATGAAATCGAAATTTTGCCACATATTTTCGTTTTCATAAACTCGCTTCCGTGTATGGGAAAACTAAACCTTAGAATCGAAATTTTGACCTTTCTTTTTCGTTTCTATTAACTCGCTTCTTAGTATGAGAGCGTGAACTCAAATTTTCTACCACTTCTTTCCGTTTAATGAATTCGCTTCCTGTATAAACTTGAAATCGAAATTTCAACCATATCTTTCCGTTTTTATCCACTTGCTATCTTGTATGGGACTTGAGATTGAAATTTTGACCACTTCACTACTAGCTATATTTTTCCAATCTTTCCCTGATCCCTTGCCTGGGGATAATGCAAATTTTATTCGTTTCCGGACCACTACAAACAGAATTTATAGTCCTATTACTGCCAAAGGGAATAAGTGGTGTGGCGTAACTACCAGTTCGAATATTAAACATCAATTCACTGGCATATAAGACATGCTAACTTGATTCAATCAAGAGGTACCTTTTGATAGATGAAGGTTGGCATGGTCGATAACTCCGCAATCACATTGGTGACCCGGACGTGATTTGTACACACAGTAACGCCTACTTCGATGGATAATCCACATTGAACAGTTGACTTGATACTGCACAGTTGTATTGTTGTATACAGTTGACTTCTGACTGCAACATTATCCAATCCTCCTCCCGCTGTTGCTACTCAGTCTCGTCTCGATTAAACACAACGGCTGCCTGCATACACTCGACTGCTAATGGCAACACAGGAACGACAAAATTACAATTTATAAATCTTTATTTAAAATCGAATTATTGAATGGTTAATTTATTAGAATTGAATAACTGAATATTATTTCATTAGTAGTGAACATTGCATTTTAATTAAAGAATATACAACTGTATTTCCCGTTTAATGTATAAAAAAAGTTCGAGTTCAATTGAGTGTGTTAATCGATTAGTCTTCAATACAATATTTTTTTCACAGATGAATTAAATAATCATGACTGCGAAAGAGTGCTGATGGAATTGGAACATATCGACGAAAGATGTGATACTTTCGGGATAGACTTGGTAAAAATATACGATCCTGAAGCTGTTAAAGAGTATAATGTGACATCTGTTCCAGCAATTGCATTTTTCCGAAAGCAAGTTGCTATGTTTTACGAAGGTAAATAATTTACTTATTTTTCTCATTCTTTTCAATTTTCTTTATTTATTGTAATCATGGTAAAAAATTATTAAAATTAATATAAATTGATTAATATATTTGAATTGATTGATTAATTGGTATCTTATCAATAAACGGAGATTGATACAATTTTACTTTATAACCACGGATAGTTTTAACAAAGTAAAATGGGGGTTATTGGCTTATTTTTAGGAAATATAATATAATATATATTAATAAAATAGTTATTTTGATTATGAATGTGTTTTAAAAAATTAATGTAAGCAATAAGCACTTGAAAATGAAAAAAAAATTTCACGTTTTAAGGTAAAAATTGCATATTTTTCTTTTTTCAAATGTTATCAGGTATATTAGATCAGATTGTTGATAGGCTCTCAATAAGAAATAGAGACGATAAAAGGAAGAAGCTAAAATTTTACAAACAATATTTAAATCAGTTCTTTTCTATACCGTTGGATGATGAATTAAAATATCTGTCGCAGGCGCTTGCTGGAGAAAAATTTAAAAGACAAGTGTAGATAGAGAAAATTTATAATACTGTCGAACTATGATTATCCGACGTCTGGTCATACGGCATCACTTCGGTAATCGGATAATCCTTGGGCCATTATACTTCAAATCCAATTCTATCCGATTACTAAATTTCCCGATTACTAATTTTAATACTGTTTTGACGAATTCAAAATGTAGCTGATAGAAAGTGACAAATAAACAGAAGGGTATAAATTATTTATTAAAGAAAACAAAATAAAGCATAAATGCTATTTTAAACTTTGTGTAGTTGCTAGTTATCCAAAGTAAGTTTATTCTTGGCTTGGTATTTATATGCGAGAAAATTTTCTGAAAACTGTCTCTCGATTATTCGACAATTTCGATCTCTCGGCATATCCATGGATGGTGTTAGATAATCTGGGTTCCACTGGGATCCTTCATGGTCAAGGGAAAAGTCAGTATTTAGGTTTTGTCTTAATAGCCATGATCTCCAATCTCCTCTCCAAATATCTGTACGGCTGCTGGGGCATCAAATCTTTACGACAGAACCGGGAAGTGTCGTATTATTGCTTAACAGTCTTAACAAATTGCATTTAAAGAGTTACAAAAGACTAAGTTGTTATGTATGCTGTCAAGTAAGAAACAATCAAAACAACGTTAAGTTTCGTAACTGCTATAAATGCTATACAAGTCTGCAAATTTTAAAAAGATTCTTTTGTTTCCAATCTTAAGGTGATTTGTACGATGAAGAACTCTTACTAAAATGGTTGACAAGTAATGAAATTTTTGAAATTGCTGACGAAATTGAAGAAGTTAATCGAAAGATGTTGGAAAAGTTACTCGAGGATAATGAATTCATTGCCGTTTTCTTTTGTAAGTTCATTTGACATATACTTTTTTTCCGTCGAATTATTTTATAAATAAGTACTTAAAAAAACATTAATTTGACAGACTTTGTAATTTTTGTAAATATTGAGTGTTTTAATTTTAACACTATTGCGTAGATTTTTATCGAGAAGAAGACTAAATTTAGGTTGAGTATTTATCATAATTTTACGAGTCCTTATCGCTTCATTTTGTTTTCAAAATTTAACAGTTTATAAGAATCTTTTTTAATGTGCATTTTCTTTTAATGTGTATTTATTTTTTATTATGTTTTAAAAAGTTTATACTTCCCTCTTTTCTATTTTTTAATGTACGCCAGTTAAAATAAGAATACATTTAGAAGATAACGATTCTATTAATGCCAAAATTTAATAACTTTATCATTAATTTGTACAAAAACCTCAAAATGATTGTAAATGGTGTAGATTAATTCCTTAATTATGCTATTGTCATGTCACCTTATCATGTATCAAAAGAAAATTACTTTGAAATGTCCATTGATATACCCTCAGTAAAAACGGTGCAACTTTGTACTAAATTGTCGTACCGAACATTTTTTATCCGGAAAATGGTTTAATTTAAAACCTTAAAAAGATGTTTAACTATACAAAATTCCCTATCAAGTAAAACCATACTATCGTTTAAGCTTAAGTTGATTTTGCATGATAAAATAGGCAATTTTGGCACCTCATTGAAGTTGCAGCAAATTGGAATCCGCTCCAAAGATTCTAACCTTTTGCTTACGGCTGGTTCAAGAAGTAGACCGGTATGACAGGCTTTACCACGCTAAACTCCGTAAGGAAGGGGATAAGTAGTAGGATTCTATAGTTCTAGCAAGATATTTTTTTATTTCATTGCGTTCTTAATGACTTAATAGCTAGGACATTTAATTACAGTTTTTTTTGTTTATATGATTCATCCGGTTTCAAAAGACTGTTTATTTATAAACATACTACATATAAAGATGGGGAATACATTGAAATATCATGCACTGACAAAATTTCTGGTGCATGCTACAAATGTTCACGATGTACACTCTCTGTAACTCAGCACCCATCACAATTGTAAACCAATTCCATCCAGTTATTTAATTGCATGTAACTACCAATGTCTACAGCAGCAGCTGTGTTGTGTTCATGCATTAAAGGTGCATAATTTTCTGGAGGAAAAGAATTATGTTAATTTATAGAGGACAAAGTTTATGTAGCCTTAATGCTAACAACAATGCCGCTGTGACAAACATTGGTAGCTACTGATGGTATGGATGACATTAAGGGTGTATAAACTAGTGGGAAGAATTTATATCAATTTCTGAAGATTAAATTTTATGTACCCTTAATGTCAACTACTCTGCAGAGACATAACACTGCTGTTGTGACTGACATTGGTAGAAACATGCTACTGAAAGTATGGATGGAATTGGATTACCCTGGTTATAAATGCCGGTTGACCAAGGATCGAATATTTTAAACATTTGTAATATAAACTAAAATCATTACAGGGATACAATGAAATTTGAATATTTCCTTGCATCCTCCATGCTTGTGTGCTGTATATTTGTAAATAAACAACCTTTTGAAATTGGATTAATAATTCAGGCTACCTCTGTAATTCTTAAAACGCTTAAAAATATGCCCTTTGAGCTTTGAAACATCAGTTCTAATATTAGATTGTTCTTACAGATGAAAGCAATTGTGAAAAATGTGACGAAGCTCTTAGAGAATTAGAGCATGTTGATGATGATGCTGATGACTTGGACATCATGTTCGTTAAAATTAAGGACCGCCGTTATGGTAAAAAATTCGGCATCACTCAATATCCATCACTGGTATATTTTAGGAAGAAATTTCCATCCATCTACAGAGGAAATTTACTCGAAGAAGAAGAAGTATTGGAATGGCTACGAAAAAATAGATATAGGCATCCGGAAATGAACCTTTTCATGTACGGGCTGGCTGCTATTTTCGGAAGTTTCATCCTTTACACAGTGTTTTTAATCTACTGTCACAAAAATAAGGAAAAGAAAGAATAAATTGTATTAATATCTATTTAAATTTGGTACACAAAGTGATTCAGACTTAAATTTTGATAAAAATTTAATAGACTTACCTAGACAGTAAAAGCGAAACTTATATTCTAAATTTAATCTAAGTAATGAGAAGAAAAATTTCTTATTTAAAACTTTTATTTTGTATACCAAGTTCAAACTCGATAATTATAAAAAACTTTCCAGTATTTTTTTTTCTTTAAATATTTCAACTTATGNCAGTGTTTTTAATCTACTGTCACAAAAATAAGGAAAAGAAAGAATAAATTGTATTAATATCTATTTAAATTTGGTACACAAAGTGATTCAGACTTAAATTTTGATAAAAATTTAATAGACTTACCTAGGCAAAACTTATATTCTAAATTTAATCTAAGTAATGAGAAGAAAAATTTCTTATTTAAAAATTTTATTTTGTATACCAAGTTCAAACTTCATAATTATAAAAAACTTTCCAGTATTTTTTTTTCTTTAAATATTTCAACTTATGATATCGTATGTTAAATATTTATACGCTCAATACGTATGGTTAACTTTACTCATGCCATATGTTGAAGATATCAGTTGAAAAAGCAGGTTATGTGTTGTTTTGATTTGAGTTGCAACGCTTAGCAAGAGGTCAATACTCATGATAGCCAGTTCTGCACTTGGCTTTAAGACAGTTGTTATGACAGACAGGTGATTTGGATTTCTTAAAGTGTTCATCATATTAAGTGTAAGAGCTGCGATGGAATAAATTTGCATTTGTTTTGTACATTTGTGTTTCTCATAAGTATGTTACACATTTCGTGCCCATTGTAACTTTTTTTATTTGTTAATTAAAAAAAACTATATCTTGATTTTGGTAGTTAAGATTTAAAGGATTAACTATAAGATAGTGTTAAGCCACACTAAAAATAAGAAGTTAGGTTTCAGAGTTTTGAAAAAGTAATAAGTTTAATATTCAGCCATAATCACCACCCTAAATCTTGTCCAAAATGAAGGAAAACACTTTAAACATTAGAAGTCTCAAATTAACATTTAAAAATGGAATTAAAAGCAAACTCGAACGATATCGAATCATGAACGTGCATTGCGGTATAAAAAATATCAAAACCATTTATTGCTACAGCTGTTTCTAAGAATTTCGATTAAAAATTCTGTTTTCTTTAACAATCAATCAGGTTATTATGATTTCAGTCTCGCCTTCCAAATTAGTAATTCAAACGTTTTTGCAAGCGTTTTTGCTTTTAATTTATTTAAATATTAACTTGCAATTCTTAATATGCACACTTTTTTACTTAGTTTTTGGCAGGAAGTTATTATGGAACATAATGTATACTTTTATTATTGGTTTATAATTTCATGTTTTTATGGCTAGTGAATTACATTTAACAAAAATATACTCGATGTGCGTTTTATTTCTTACATTATCATACATTAAACTCAGTTTCTAAATAAAACTTCAAATCACACTTTTGAAAAAATAAAATCAATAACAGCTTTTATTTTATTGTTCAAAACACTTTTTTGCTTAATTGCTTTTTATATAGAATGTCAGGGAATTTTTGATTTGAGACAATTTTGATGTGGCAATAACGCATGGCGTCAGGGCACAAATATGATTGAAATGTTTCCACTACGAATTGTGACGTTGCTTCCTAAACATTTTAAGATAATAAATATAGGAAAATTTCTAATGTGGTTTATCATTATCTTACAAAAAGCCATTCATTTGAATGACTTAATTTAAAAAAAGACTTAAGATTGCATATTTCACAAACACTTTTGTGATTGAAATCCTTATTAAAATACTTAGTTTACATAATATATTTAATATTTTTTTTATCAGATTAAAAAAATTTATTATTTTTTTCCATATATTTGTCGCAAAAATATTGAAATATTTATTTTTTCTAAATGGATATTATTTTACTTAAAAACTCTTATGAGAATATAATATAAATTAATATTTTTCATAAAAATTATTATATATTAGTGCGAATAAAATTATAAGGTATCTTATTATTTTTATTCTGAATTAAAATGTACTTCCATCCTAATTTTAGCACTCATAATTGTGTGCTAATTTTTTCTACGTCCCATAATTTTGCCGCAATTTTCCTTAGCCAATTTAGATAATGTATTCTTGTCGCGAATAAAAAAAAATTTCCATACCCCTGCTTGAAGCAAACAATATTTATCCTGTGTATTGTTTTGTATATTTCCTTCGAGTATAAATTTTCCATAAAAGAAGTTAATTTATTTCCTAATGATAAAAATGCCTTTTAATTTTGATAAAGTTTGATAAAGAGTTGGACATTTTAACATGTTCTGGCTCTCTGGTAATGCTATACATTCCAGTGCTTCTTTGATATTTTGCTCTTTTCAACTGCATCAGTCAGAGCCAGTCTTAAGCACGTGTGAACAGCGTGATCACACCTGGCCTTGCGCTTCTAAAAATCTCGTGCAAAGAAAAGAAAAACACAAAATTCAGTTAAAAATATTTCCAATCACATTAATTTACGTAAAGAAGGTTTTCGTAGATTGCGATTTTAAGTATCTAGTAATAAACACACGAGTAAGAAATTGAGAAAATTTTGTAAAACAATTGAAATTAAATTTCAAAAATAAATTGGACCAATAAATTCTTAACGGCTAAAATAGAAAAAAATTAAGCTATTTAGGTGCTTTTAGAAATTTGGAGTTGACATATGATAAATATTTATAATTTTTGAAATTTATTTATGATTAAATTTATATTATTTTCATTATTAAAATATATTTTTAAAATTTAATTATTATTAAATATTATGATGAGCATCTTGCTTTCCGCAAAATAACACAAGACTTTTCCCGCTATAACTACCAGTATTATTTATTCGTTATTCATGTCTTTCAGATCTTAAAAGAGACTTCGACACTTTAGTCATCTTTGAATTTGATAAGATAAACAATTATTGCAAAGGTTGACACATGCAATCGCAATTGCTTAAGCTGGCTCTGGTTGGAATATCTGTTTCCTTTTTTGCTCAAACTGTTACCTGTATCAGATTCCTCCAATTGTTTTTGATACCGCTTATTTTAATCAACCTTGATTTATTAATGATATTTTAAATTCTCAATTGAAATGAAAAGCCAGAATATTTCAAAACTTCATAATTTTTTGATATAAATGGAAAAAAAGAAATAATTTTGTACCAGATGGTCTTGAGATCTTGAGCACCATATGGTTGCTTTATTAATACTATTTCTAATGATACGAAAGACTCATGTGCTCTTTTTTTTAAAATTATTATTTTTAATTACTAAATGATTTCTTTATTGACGAATCAGCATTTACTTTACAGCTTAATTAGCACAATTATTTACAGCATGATTTTTTTTAAAATTTTGAGATAAAGATAAGATTATCGCAAATTCTTCATTTTATCAAAGTTGTTTTACCAATTACTTCATTTACCAATTAGTCTGGAAATGCAAAACTAATTTAAATCAAACATAATTTTTTTATCCGAAATCGAACAATTACTTTTGTGAATCCAGAAAAATTTCTATAATTTCAAAAATGTTGCTGGGTTCTTTTTAATTAGATACAATTAAATATTGTTAAAAAAAATTATGAATCGAGGCTGTTCTTAAAGCTCTTTGAAGTAAGATTTTGAAAGCATGAAGTTTTTTTTAAAAATAAAACCCTTTTGGAACAAATTGCTTAGCAATGAATAAACTATTTGAATAACTATAAGTTATTTGAATAGTATAATGAATAACAATGACACTAAATCTCAATTTAGCGAGCATTTTTATTTTTTATCTAGATAAAAATCATTTAAATAGGCAAATAATTCTCAATTTTGTTATACTTTATATTCATAGACCAACGTGATGAAGAAACTTTTAAAATTACAAAAAAAGGTTTATTTCTTATAATAAACAAAGGCATATTTCTTGCCAAATCGTGCTATTTAAAATAGTAAAAGATCCTCAGAAGGACATTTTTATTTTTAATAAATTTACTGTGACGAGTTCTCAACATTTTCCGCGGCTTATGTATTTGGTATGAAATATTTCATTTCAAGTTTCCTGATGTTAAAACTTATCTTAAATGCTCAATTGGAAACTGATATCGTATAAAAATTGGACTTTCAACTTATTGTTATTCTTTGATGTAATAATTTATTTTTTAATTGTACAGTTCCAAGCGAACAAGCTTCTTTTTTGACTGGTTGTATAATATATGAACTGTTCATGTTAAAAATTGTGTGTATGAGTTATTTTGTCTAACAACGTTTTTACACTAACAAATATTTTATTCATTTTGAAGTATAATTAAAAGGTTAAAATAAGTGGTATATTGTTTCAAACTAGTATTTCATCCTTGCAATAATTTTCGGTCGATTGAAGGAGATTTAAAACGCTCTATGTCTCTTGTATTAAATTCTCTTAATCACAGAATAAAAAGTTTATATTAATAAGATTTGTCCACATTTATTTTTAAACACAATGCTTCGGAGAAATAACGGTTTTATATTTGTTTAATTCATTTCTGTGGTTTGAATGACCTTGACCCATATAAATTCTTTTGCTGTATGATTAATAGCCAATGACCAGCAATCATAGGTTTCACAAAAACTGAATTTTCTTGCATTATTTGCTTACAATGAAAAAGCACGATTTCGAAAATACCATTTGGGGTGAAACTTAGTATATCAGTAATATGCATTAACAGTGTTCACCCCTTAAAATAACGGATCACTCTAGCTAGTCGATTTCAAGAAAAACGCATTTGAAAATTCATGCATACTTTACATACTATAGTTAAATCTTTATATAGTTTTATGAAATGTGCCTAGCTGCGATACGTTTGAGGTTCCAATCATGCAGCGTACCAATCATGCCTAATTTAACACTCTCAGAGAATAGAAATCCCTCGTAGAAACAATTTTATTAAATAATTGGAAAGGTCAAAAGGTGAGTTTTAGAATGCTTCCTAAACATTTTGCGACCAGTTTTTAAGTTTTCTGATCCGCTTATTCAGTTTATAACTGAAAAATTTTAGTGTGATGAACAACCCGGAAACCCCATGATATATATAGACTTTCAGCCCTGGTTCAAATTGTCCAAAAAAATTAAATAATTTTTGTAGTTATTGAAAGGCTTTAATCCGTTGTTAAGCCTGAATAGTTTTTTACTTGTCAAAAGCAATATACTTACGTTAAATTTAAAACATTGATTCGAGCTTAAACCATTTAGGCTACTTTTTATTTAGATTATTAAACTTAAAAGCATCTAACCTTGATACCAGATAAGCATGGTTGAAAGCCCTTATATAGCAAGACGGAAAAGAGTAAAAACTGGTACGAAAGATATTTCATTCTAGTATTTTTTTCGAGAAAATAAAATATCTGTAACTATTAATATTTCTTTTATAATTTTAGCATATATATAAAACTGCTTCTTCACTGAGATAAAGTAGACATTGTTGCATAGTTTAAAAAAAGAATAAGTAAAGTCCTCCCGAAAACTAGCAATAACTGAAATGGTTTTACTACCAGCCTTTTCTTTTTTCCGTCTCGCTTTCCCTCCTGTAGATAAGAGAGTAGGATAAGAACGAAAAAGTAGGCGTTCCTTCTTATCGCAAGCCCTATGTCTCTCCGAAAGAAACGCCTACTTCAGCATACACAAAATCGGTAGGAGATGAATAAAACCGGATTTTAGCATTTTCGAATGCTATAATTCGACTGCTTTGTTTTGCATTTCGTATAAATCAATTTTTGGTTTTTGACTAGCTAATTTAGCCAGACTGTCATGGTAACCAACATGGGCTTTGATCCAATTTAACTTAACCCCTTGGAGACGG